GAGCCAGCAAACGATCCCACCGATGTGGTCAGGGACTCAGAGAATTCCGGGAAACAACAACTTTTGGATGCGTTGGGAAAACTCTTCACCGTCTCTGAGGATGTCAACGTGTGCTTGTATTGTGGTAGCACCAAACATGGCCATCTTGAATGTGAACATGAGAAGAGAGATGAAGTCAGAAAGGTGCTAAAGGCCGTCCGAGCGTCGCTCCAGGCTGATAGTCCCACATCTGATGACGTCGATATGGAGCCTCCTGAGCACAAGAAGGACGGTTCAGGTGCTACTGAAGGGTCGGGGCAGACAGATGAACCTACAAAACCGAGGTTTAGTGAACACCAGTGGTACGACAGCATCAGGACTATGTCTGAAGTTGGTGACCTCGATGAGTATGGTAGGTTCTGCATAGAAGGACGTGATGTTACAAAGCTGGGACCACAAAACGTTGTTGACCTCAACGAAGTGATCCGAGACGCTATTGTCAGGGGAGGAGGCGACACTTGGTCAGTGCCAGACTTCATGGCAAGCTACTCTGACAACAACATCAGGAAGACCTTCTACAAACGAGTCGAAGCGCCGCAAGATGGTTTCTTGAAAATCATCCCGACAACAGGGGCCCATTTCTTCAATTGCCCTTACTTTGGCGGCGTAGAATATGCTGCCAACTACCGCTTCGAGACTGGCAACCGACTCGACACCTACGAGGACAAGGTGAGTACATCACTAAACAGGATCCTGCGGCACAACGTGGGGAAGGTATCAGAGCAGCAGAGTCTGTCCTGTGATGACGCCGGCTGGGTGCCCATCGAGGAGGTGCTCAAATGTGAGTCCATCTGGAGGCACGAGCATGCACGCTGGCCACACGTATTCCTTGCCCCAAAAGGGAGAGCAAATGATCAGAGTGCATGGAATGTCAAAGAGGCGAACTACCGCATGACATTGCTCTTCAAGATCATGTTCCACTGTGCCCGGTACGGACGTCGTGTGCGTGAACAAGTCTTGGCATTTGGGATCAACAAGGACATTGATCGCCGCAGCCTGACGTGCATTGACAACAATGTCGAAGCGGACACGCACATCCCTGATGAAGGTCTACTGCTCTACCCAGTGGCGGTCCGTGCTCCTACGGGGCACAAAGAAGGATCTTCAAGAGACGACGTTTCATTGCTGTCCTCGTTGCTTTCACATCCAATCGCACCCAACACCATTTTGTCATTACCGGTCTGTTTCCACATCACCAAGAAGACCAACCTCCGAAGCATTTGGAGGCAGGGGTTAATTCCAGGAGGTCTTGGAGAAGGTCATCGGATGTTCACGTTCTTCAACCCGTATGTGCCATGGGATCATAGATCATGGACCATCACGAAGAGCGTTGATACGCGCAAGGGTGACTACATTTGCTTGTTCATCCCGACCGAGACCTTGATGGTGGAATATGGCGGTCGACTAACTGACTCGGGACAGATCGTTTCACCAAGGATCATCCCGTTCTCGGCAATCAAAGGAGGATGGATTCAGGACCCCAAGGACCAATACAACAAGACATGGCTCCGGTTGTTCGTCCCGTCGGGCGACGACCAGGTAGTCCGGTCTGGAACTATCAAATCAAGAACGGTAGCCACCAAGGAGTCCATCCTGAGGGTTGCAAGTCAATGCATCGACGCCGAAGACCAGCCATATGACGAGATCGCCATGGATGCCATGAACATCGTCAACCAGTTCAAGAACAACCTCATCGAGCCTGGTGGACAAGAGCAATACCTGGCCCGCATCAAGCTGATTGACTATATAGTCGAGCGCAAAAGGGTGCAAACGTCAGGTTGCCGTCATTGTCCTCATTGTCTCAACGAGACGCCGACAAAGCTAGCAGTGTGTCTAGTCTGCTGGACGGAACTTGAAAGTTGTGGAATCCGTCCATATCGGCTACAAGCTCCTGAAGACGATGAAGATGAGGCAACAAAGAAAGAGATCGATGAAGAAGTCCGTCGACAAGAAGAATCGTTGTTCAAGGATACGGTCAACCAAGCACAAGAAAATGTATCCGAGTCCAACGACTATGGCTTCAATCCTGACGAGGTCGACTACAATGAAGGCGATGATGAGGAAATGGATCAGGAGGAGGAAGCTCAACAGGAAGACGACGAAATCGTTGAAGAAGAAGACGATGAAATGGACGTCGAACCTGAAGATGATCCTTCTTCCAAACTTCCAGCGTGGACTAAGAATCTTGAGAGCGGAAGCAAGGGTATGCCGGAAGACGGACTTATCAACAATGACGTCTCCGAGGCCGCGGCTCACTTGTATGACAATGCTGTCATGTCAAAGGTCATCACAATGTTCAGGCTCTACTATAAGCAAAGGGTCACTCTGACCCCAGAGGAGTACTACGAGATGATGACGGAAACCAAGCGAGTCCGGCTGGACCTGGACGACTTCTGCCCCTACACAGGCGAAGACCAGGATGGCAACCTCAAGCGACCGACGGAGCTGGAGTTGGACGAACTCTTTCAGGAGAAAGGGAAAAGGAACTCATGGTCAGAGGGAGAGAAGATGTACTCAGGACGACCAAGAAACATGATGATGCCCGTCGTCAAGACCTTGGAGATCTATGAAAAGATGATGGAATTTCTGGTACGCGCCGGGCACACTCCCGAGTCATTAGGTTTCCTCATGCCAATGAACCGAATGCAGGCTGATGCCCAAGGGAAGCAGGAGATGCGAGTGACCATCAGCAACTTTCTTCGACGACTGCTGAAAGGAACCTTTCCAGAACATGAATCATACACATTCTTTCGTTCCGGGAGCCACGGCTTCCCCAACTGCATCGAACTCCCAGCTTTCTCGGTATATCTGAGTCTGAGGGAGAAAGAACAGAGAGTGGAGTTGCTCTTTGCCGCCCAACAATGTGGCATTCCTCTACCTCAAAACTTTGTCAGCAAGATGGCTTATGCTATTCAACTGGCTGAGGCCGAGGCGCAGAGGGGAAAGACCGAGATGAAAACGAAGATGGCTCCAACCCTTGGCGACGAAGTGGCGAGTGAAGTATTCAAAGCGGTCGGACATACTGCCGCTTCCAAGTTTACCACCGCAGCCAAATCATCAGCACAACCTTCACAGAAACCTGAAGGCACTGGTTCAGCATCATCCTCATCGGCCAGCGCACCAAAGGCTAAGGCTATGCCGAAATCCCATGAACCATCAAAGGCACCGCCTGCGAAGCCCTCATCGCCGAAAGCTGCTCCGAAACGTGCGGCAGGATGGGAGAAAACTCCAACAACACCTCAATGGAAGAAAGTCCGCCGTGAGCAGTAAACCAATTACCTCTGTCCATCAAAATGATCACTGAACTATAAGATGTGTATCGTCTTTGTGAACAGATGATCAGGAAAAGACCAACTGAGTGGACTCTGAGCGAGGCAGTAGATTAATTCGCTTAGGTTCAAGACTTTTGATATTCCCAATCTGCACGAATTCTGCACTGTGCATGTGAATTCGTTAGTTAGCATCGTAAATCTTTAGTAGCGAAGCGACCCATTTCTCCCGACGGGTGAGTGGTATGCCTAGCAAACATAGAAAAGTAGATGTTAGCTAGCAATAATTTGCATTGTACAGCTTGATGAAGCGCCGATGCATCGACAGCCATAGAGTAGGCGAACCCGGAACCATTATTCCCGTCGGGAATGTGGGAAAGGGGAAGCCGAATGGCATGTTTTTTATGTACATAGGCGTAATTCGAGCAGCAGAAGGATTTAATTCAAAGTTCCCACTCTCGTGCCTACGGTTCGAAGATGCCGTAGGCATGGGGGGTGCGAAAGGGAACCAGGTAATACAACCACTGCACATGCTGAGCATGTAAACAATTATGCATGGACTGCCAATCACTTGGCTCAAGTCATGCGCGAGGAAAAAGACTGTTCTCCGAACGCCATGCAGCGACGTTGCCCTGCACTACTAGCATAACCGGTACTACAATCAAAAGGGATAATCCAGAACAAGGATCAAATTGTTCACATGAAACTATGTTTGAAATCACAAACACACACAAAGATGTACACACATTACATTACATTATATCACACACACACATATATATATGTATACATACACACATACACATACACATACACATACACATACACATACACATACACATACACATACACATACACACATACATACATACATACATACATACTTACATCACATCACATCACGTCACTTCACGTCCCATCACATCACATGACATTACATTACATTACTTACATACAGACAGACACACACATACATACAGACACACATATACAGACACACACGCACATACATACATACATACATACATAGATACATAGATACATAGATACATAGATACATAGATACATAGATACATAGATACATAGATAGATAGATAGATAGATAGATACATAGATACATAGATAGATAGATAGATACATACATACATACATAGATACATAGATACATAGATACATACATACATAGATAAATAGATAGATAGATAGATAGATACATACATACATACATACATACATAGATAGATACATACATACATACATTAATTACATTACATTACATTACATTACATTACATTACATTACCATACCATACCATACCATACCATACCATACCATACCATACCATACCATACCATACCATACATACATACATACATACATACATACACACGCATGTTTATTACATTGCGTTGCATTGCATTCCATCCCATTTCATCATTCCATCCATGCATACCCCCAAAAAGATGCCCAACAGTTGGAATCCTGGGAAGTTATCCTCTTGCAAACTGTTCCCAGTAGACCCATATTAATGGAATAGCGATGGAACTTACGAACGTGATTTCCCTATCAATTCATATGACATCCCCAAAAAATCCCTATTAAATCCCTATTAAATCCCTATTAAATCCCTAAACATCAGTAAATCCGAAGGTAATAACATCCCAACCACCCGTCGGCCGACGAAGTTGTGAGGTCGGTCTCTCTCCGGGCGACCGCTTCCAGTCTCCGGCGCCGTGCTCGGTGACGCTGAAGGCGCCCCAGGATCCCAAGCGCTGCGCGCAGCCGCTGGCGTTCATGGGCGCCCTGGCCACCGGGGGGAAGGGGTGGGGAAGGGCTGGGGAAGGGCTGGGGGCTGGGGAAGGGCTGGGGAAGCTGATGATTTTTGGGTTCTTAAGCATGACATTCATAGATGTCCTTTTCCCATTGGTTGGTTGATTAATAGAGGGGTTTGTTTACCCCTTTAACAACAGGTAAATGATGATAGATGGTATACCAAACCGGCCCCTCTATTTTTACCAAAAGGACATTATTGCATGACATGCATGACAAATTGGAGATTTGACAGGACTTGAGCCTGTACAAATGGACGTTTAACATGTTCTCAGCAAGAAACAACTTGCATGTGACTGTACCCTCCGGTCTCCTCCCGAAATGGTGACCTAAATGGTGACATTCACCGGGGAACCATCGGCTTAATGGCCTTCAAATGCCTTTAGGTTGCGATAAAAACACATAGATGGTCAGTCAATGGGATATTTTCAAGTTGGTGGTTTCTAACGTTCTTTAACGGTTCAAATTGTATTTTTTGGGTATGAAACCCGCCGCTTGACTACATTGCATTCAAAGTATTCTTCAGGAGGTTGGACAAAATAATTGATTGCTGAAATGTTAGCACCTCAAAATGAGACATCAGTTGAAACGGTGGCAGGAAAATGATGGCTTTAAGCCATGCAAATTGAACACAGTTGCAACCTCACCATAGACGATGGTTATTGTCGGGAAAAATTCGGAGAATTCCTGGGTGCCCCTTCGGAAAATCATCTACAACGCGGGACATTTTCCATCTACATGTTCACCAATCCTTGGATGTGTTTTTGATATTGTATATCCATGAGTATCCCCGAATCCCATGTTTCCCATGGTTCCCAATTCCTCATTTTCACCACATTTTCATGGCGATCGCCGAACAATCGAAGCCGAGGAACGAGAGACTGGCAGGGCTACTGGCTCGTGGTGGGGCCTCTGCCGGGAATTTTCCCGGGGGAGTGCGTTCCCGTCAAGTGACTCGGCACCAAAACGATGTTGAAATAGGCAGGATATGAAGAGCAACCCCCAAAAAAGATAGAACAGTCAAAATCCTCTTTGGATTCTTTGGATTGTGGTAAATTGTTTTTCTATATTTTTTTTGGGAACTACATATTGTGGGGTTTCCACCTAGAACAGCTGAGGCGTTTTTGTTCTCCTATTTCCCATCCACAACGATCGGGGAGTCTACCGGGAAGATTTGTTACAGTATTGTGTGGGATGTTTGGGGCCAATCCTTGGCCATGACATGGGTGGTTGTGCCATATACTGCGTGGAACATTTATCAAAGTATCAAAGAATCTATGGAGCTATTTAGAGTGCAGAGCGCAAAAAGGAAGATAAGGAAGTGAACAGAACAGCCACAATGCACACCAATGAGATCCAATGAGGATGTAGCAAAAAAAGTGTAAAGTAATACGGATGTGAATCATGTAATTTGATTAATTAGTTTGTTTTTAAATAACCAACCTTCGAAAAAAAGTGAATCCACCTTGCCTCTTCACAGCATTTCCCCTTTGTTTGGGCACCTTGGTGGCATCCAAAAACAGATTCGTTTGTCATCACCAGGAAATTTTAAAAGAAACATGGTAAACCACCATAGGGCGGATACCAACTTTGAATAGGTTGGATTTGCTGAAGGCGTTTTTTTTTCTTAAATAAACATCCTATGTGCTAATCCACCATTTGGTCAATCTGCCGGACTTAAAAAAAAAATACTTTTGGGCTCTTCAGCAACACCAAGTAGTCTATCACAAAATTTGGTGGTTTAATAAATCCCCATGAATCACTCTAAAAATCCATTGAGCACCCATTAAAACCCATAAAATCCCATGAATTCACCATTAAAACCCATAAATTCCCATTAAATCATCATTTACCCCATCAGTAGACACACCTTAGAATGGCACAGCAAAAAAAAACAAAAAGGACTGGCGGAGAGTTGAGACGACCGAGGCTTCCGCCCGGAGACACTGTGACGCTGTGATGCCTATATATATAATATATAATATATAATATAATATATATATATATTATTGATAGGTAGGCATATATTTTATGACATATATGTTTTAAACTATTTATCAATGAGATATATATATACATAAATAGATATACAGATAGATATAAATAAATAAATACATAAATAAATATAAATATATATATATACACATAATGACATAATATGATGTATATGCATATGCATTTATGTGTTGAGCGTGCGCGCAACGATATCTATATCTAATATCTATTCATATCTAATGATCTATATCTCTCTCTTACATGACGCATGTGGCGTATAGATTTGCACATATATTGTGCAAAGTGACCATCATAGCAATGCAATATTTTTTACCTGGTCACTTTCGCCCTCTGCGATGTCCGCGGGACCTCCGCCTTCTTTGGAGAATCTGGTGAAACCTGATTTTGGTAGTCGTCCGATAGGGTTTCTTCCGCAGTGCTGTTTTTTACGTTTTTTTTTTGGGGGGGAGACCTAGACGATCGGATGTGTTGGCTTATTTGGTTAGATGAGTGAACCCCAATGGTTTGTTGGGATTTGTTCAAACCTACCAACCAGAAACATGTGTCGATTACTGTATATAATAATAATTGTTGTACATTGAGTAGTACGACGATACTGAATGACAGAAACATCGTCGAAATTATATATTCCAGTACACGTCATTGGCGGAATTGGGAGTGACTGTGGAAACAAATCACCAGACGTTTTTTTTTGTTGCCGAGAGGACCTTCCTTATTTTTTTTTTTATGGGTGTAAATCCCAAAAGACACTCCCAAAGAATGCCAAGGTTTCCAAAGAAGAATAAAAGAAAGGAAAGGAAGGACAAAGTAAAGAAGGACAGAAAACAACGAAGAAGATAAGGAAGGAAGGCAGGCAGGCAGGAAGCAATTAAGCAAGGAAAGAAAAAAGTAAAGAAAAAAAGAACAAGAGAGCACAAGAAAGAACTATATATAAACAACATGAACGAACGAGTGAAAGAACGGAAAAACAAAAGAACAAAAGAACGAAAGAAGTGAAAGGACTGGTAGAACGAAAGAACAACAAAAAATAAAAAACAAAGAGAAAACGTATAGACAAAATGAACTAGACTGAAAGAAGAAGGAAAGAACAAGACAGAAATAAAACAGAAAAGAGACGTACAGAAAAACATAGAGATCCTCACCCTCATCAGCCATCAGCCCAAAGGACAATTTTCAGTGGACCTAGACGTATATACCCTCTGGTAATTTAACATAGCTATTGAAAATCACCATTTTTAATGGGAAAATCCACTATCAATGGTCATTTTCAATAGCTATGTTAAATTACCAGAGGGTAGATCGAACTGATTCAAACTCTTCCTTATCATAGTCATTTTTTCCTGGCCGATCTAATGGCTCCCCAGGGGGCTCCCAAGATTCCAAACCACCAACAGAAGTCACCAGTTCAATGGCTGGGAACGCCATAATGCCGTAGAGCACGGGGGATTCCGCGGTCGTTCTGAACCGCCAAAGGCGGTAGCTTTGAACAAAGGGCATCGGCTTCGGTTAAAAGGGGATTTGTGTCAGAAATTCATGATGGATTCTAGGAATGTGATGATGGGAAATTTGCAGGAACATTTTAGGATTTAAGGGGACAAACGCAAGGTTTCCTGTAGATTTTCCTCGCTAGGTTGGCAAATCATGGCAAATCACCTCCCCTAGCATTGCTGGTACGTTCCAACATGAAGCGGAGTCATCACTATTTGTTGGATCCTTTTTTTCCTTCATAAACAATCATACACTCCATTTCGTTGCATATCACATCTCCATGTTTGATGCTTGTTGATTCAATCGCCAATTCCATTGCTTGAAACCTGGCACCTTTGGTTGCCAGCGTTGTAAAAAAGGCCTGTGCCCTCGGGCAACGCCGATGATCCTGAAGCTGGAGGTGCAACAAGAGCCATGTCGATGCAACAAGGCGGATGCAACCGTGGTCACATGGGCTGGCTTAACCATGAAACTTATAGATGATTGTGGCGATTTTTCATGAATGTTCAATCATCAACAATAGGGATTTTATATGATTTTATGGGATTTATAGATGATTATAACGATGGCGCTTTATGGCTTAATTTTCTGGTTGAGATCCCATGAGATGGTGATTTTTTTTTTTTTGGTAAAGGGATTGACATCGTTGAACGATGGTGGTTGAATGGTCAAAAAATGGCCTATCCCTGTTCACCTTAGCCATTTATTGACCAGGTATAGCTTCACATGGCCCCCATTTTGCCTGGTGAAAAGAACCTGGGGTTCTAAGCGATTCACTGGGAAAGGATCATCCACATGGGCAATGGATCGATGGCACTCTCTGATAATCAAAGATGGCTATGGAACATCCACTGCTTCACTATAGCTATAGCGATATTTGTAGATAGGAATTGCTTAATAGACTGATTTAAAGATGATACTTAACTATCCAATACTTAATGGAACATCCATTCATAGATATTTATAGATGATTTTCCCATTACAAGCTCCATTTATCAAGAATTGCCAATTGCCATGTTTGATTACCGAAGCGTATGTCTCTTTTTTATTGAACATCTTTTTCCAATCCTCTGAAATTTTCGAAGTTTTGATGCTGAGACAAAATCTTGGAAGCCTCTTGAGTTGTTGGATCAATGTTTGTTCGACCAAAAACGGACCTGCTGATTGGATCATTTTTAGCATCGACGCCTCCAATTTGTGGGACCCAAAAAAGAGAGAGAGAAAGAGAGAGAGAGAGGGAGAGACTTCAGTGCCACACTCAAAAGGCATTTCTTTTTTGAGGGTCGAACACCTTGCGGTGAGTTTGCCGCCTCAGCAACGTCACAGTTCTTGTTGACAATTTGGATGGATTATAGTTATAATATAATGACCTCACTGTCACGTCACTGGAATGATGGTTAGGGGAATCATTCCCAACTTGCCTTATTTCAACCCTTTTCAGGTTAGTGAATTTTTGTAGTTCAGCCAGAATGGGCTACCCATCAACTCAGCTTAGCATATCCGTGGCTGATCTTGAAGTGACCGAGCCATACCGAGCCCAGGTCTTCAAACTTGGGAAAGTCCAAAGCCATGATTTTCCTTTCTTTCTGTGGGTGAAGCATAAACATCGAACTGGCCAAGTTTCAAGACTTGGGATGGACATGAAACCAGTGAACCATGGCGGACCATGGTGAACCATGGTGAATTGGGGTGCAGAGCGGCAGGTTATCATAGCTCCAGAGCTGAAGCAGTTCAGAGCGTTCAAAAGACCATCGGTGAATTGGCGCAGATGTTCCAGAAGTGCCTGGGCATGGCACGCTGCGGAGCATGGTTGGGGCCATTTGGGGCCCGATTTTTTAAAAGCGTATACCACCACAAGAGATTCAGAAATGGCTTCAATTTGCCGGTCATTTTATGTAGGGTTTTATAATACATGTTTTTACCAAATTCGACTTCTGGGGGTTGCTAGAATACATACAGTACACAGTGACCGGATGTGGTGAAAAGATGTGAAGAGACACCTTGGAAAGTTCCTTTCCCTCAACCACTGGTAGTCCTCTCGAATCATCGTCTCACAATTTTTCTACTTTTTGGTGGTCTTGAAATATTTGAAATGAAACCAAGTTAAGTCAAGTGAAATCCAGCATGTCCATACCTGATTGGTGGCTTGGAACATTTTTTATTTTTCATTCAGTTGGGAATGTCATCATCCCAACTGACTTTCACTCCATCATTTTTCAGAGGGGTAGGCTCAAAACCACCAACCAGATAATTAACCATCATTAAGCACTATTAATCACCATTAACCACCAGTAATTTATCAACCAACCAGATACATGTCCATAGATTATCCATAGATTATGGGACTTATTATGGATAATCTATGGATAATCTATGGATAATCTATGGATAATCTATGGAATCTATGGACCATTTATAGATGGATCACCCTCTGGTAACATGGCGAAACCTCGACCGCCATGACGGTCACCAAATTTCAGGATGGCCGTGATGGTCACCGCGCAAGAAGCCGCTTGGAGAGCTCGACTGGATGTCGATGTATGGCCGCCAGAGGAATAGATGGAATATATATATATATACTATGTAATATAGTAATATATGTAATGTAATATATACATATATGTGTGTATTATATATATAATGTGGAATATATATATGGAATATATATATGTATATAGTAATATATGTAATTTAATATATATATATACGTATTATATATAATATGGAATATATATATATATGGAATATATGGAATATATGGATTTACCCTCTGGTAATTTCTTACATAGCTATTGAAAAACTGCCATAGAACTAGTTGATTTACCCAATAGCATGGTGATTTTCAATAGCTATGTTAAATTACCAGAGGGTATGTTGAAGAGATATGAAGGTATGATAGGTGGCCAAAATCATCCCTAGTTACCTAGTTGGGTGTTGGTGGGCTTCTCAAATTAAACACCTTGTACATCTCCCCTGACCTGGACTGGCTTACCCTCTGGTGTCATCAACTAAGGCTGGAAGATCCACAATGAATTACCCATATGCGAACCATGGTGCTGGAATATGCACACCAACAAAAAAGCCCTTGCCCAAAATCACCCAGTCTTGTAGTTTTTTTTTAATATACCAGCACCATGGTTCGCAGATGGGATAGCTATGAATCACTATTTACTTCGATGATCCAAGCGCAAAGCGGAAGAGGATTTTCCAGGCTGACAGCAGTTTCCAAGGAGGTCACCCTTCTCATTCGTCTCAACATTGCAACGTCCAAATGTTGGTGAGATGTTTCACCTGACGGCTGGGTGACGACAGAAATCACAGTTTTTTATCCGATTTCGGACATGCGCCACATGCGGCGCCTTCCAGATGTGCCCCCAGGTGAATTGGTGATCCATTGGTGATTCGGTGAGGTGTTTTCCGATGTTTTTTCCTCAGGAAATGATTCAACGCATCGACCACGACCTGGATGATACTCTGGACAACGCCACCAAAGCACAGGAGATCGCGCTGTGGGAATTCGAAGTCTCAAAGGGACGACTGGGACGACCATCCCCAACAAAAAACATCTAACTTGACCATGGATCACCATGGTACATGTGAGATGTTTCTTGGTCTTAGATGGTCTTAGATGGCACAGTTCTTACATGTTTTTTTTTTTTTTAAACCAGTAAACAGACAGTAAACATGGATACAAACATGTAAGATGTGGATTTAGTCCGCCAGCATTTCATGATTTTGCGATTTAACCTTCGGAAACCGTGGGGATTTGCACTCTCCCAGCCACAAGTTGAGCAAATTGAAACGGTCATTTAACATGGCATGGGCCAACTCCCGGTCATTGGTCGATGGTTTCCGGGCCAGGACAATTTGCTGCAGTATTTCCACTACATTTCTTCGAACCGTGCCATGGCACACGGCTTGCGCTTTTTGGGGAGTTTTGGAATTTGGTTTTGGGGAGTGGTTGGCAGAGGGGGAATCGACTGAGGTGCTTTGATTATCAAGGTCTTTTTGATCCTGATCTTCTTCGCAGCTCGGGAGAGTTAGAACCACCAGGGGGTGACTTCAACCTATTTGGGGTTGCGCCACTTTTATGGGGCGGCAAAGATCTTTGTGATTGCCCCACCCCAAGCGCGGGGGGAAAGGACTCTATGAATAGGGGGATCTACTCTTGCTACCTGGACATACCTTCTAGTCTTTCCCAATGTCTTTTGATAGCTGTTTGCCGTCTCTACCCAGCTCAAAATCAGACAGGTAAGATCCTCTCATTGCAACATGTTTCTGTAGGGCATGCGTCTGCTAGCGCAGACATACACCAAGGCATACTTGTTGTACTTCTTGTGTGATATATGGTACAAATGTCACACCAGCAACAACTGTTGTTGTCCGTAAACAAGGCAAAAAGCAAAATATCATGCTCCCATTGCAAAATGTTTCTGTAGGACATGCGTTTGCCTGGACACACACACAGACATAGTGGGCGTACATACTAATCACATACAGTACATACTTAAGAGTACCAAACCATTTTAAAAACGGATGAACAGGTATATTTTTTGGGCAGGGGTAGCATATGTATATATATATATATATGTGCACACACACATATATAATCACATATATATATATAAGTGATATATGGTTATATACATATATACATATGTGGGTGTGTATTTGTAATTATTTGTATACATTGTGCATATGCATGTGCCTTCAGAACGTAAATTAGTGGCTGGCACTTTCAGCTTCCCCATCTGGTCACGGCGGCCGAACCGGTTTACCATCCTCCAGCACCGATCTTCGCTACCCTTTGGCCGTGTTATTTGTTACCAAAGTTGTAAACCCCCAACCATCAACAACCCAGTGGCAGGGTTGATATGTTCATATGCTAGAGTCCTCAATTTTTTATGACTGCGACATCAGTCATGGTTAGGATTGGAGCACTTACCCTAACATGACTCACGCCTCAGGTTGGTATAATTCAGCAAGATTTATCAACCCTTGATTATACAAGTGACGGTACCTCTTCCTAGAGGATTTTCCCAGATTTTTCCCTATCAGAATTCTCATCCTTTTTGTAGGTCACGCGTGCGCGAAGTTATTTTACAGGGATTCCGGTGGGAAAATCCCAAGGTGATCTTCTTCGTGGTTTTCCTGGCCTAGTGACCTAGTGGCCTGAGCCTGGACAGCCCGGTCATTGGTCATTTTTTTGGGTGCGCCGCGGTTCAGCTTGGTGGCAAACATCAGCAGCAACCTCACTATATATAGGGGGGATGTAGCATGATGATATATGATATAAACATATATAAACACATACCCTAGGAGAAACTAACATAGATGTGGAGAACCTATAGAAAAACCCTAGGAAACTCATTTTAAAGATGGTGGATTTTCTGGTTGAAAAGTTCATCGCATCTCCTTTCAATCCTGGGATGATGCTGTGCCGAGCCGCAGCGTAGGCGGAATGTGCAGTCCTGCTGCTTGAAGAACGTTGACCGACTAGTCATGGTTCAACAGTCAGGTTTTCATCAAGGTTGCCCAGATTTGGGGGTTCGCAAAATAGGGGTACCGTACCCCCAGTCATCATCCATTTATAGATGTTTTTTCCATGTTTTTCCATTATAAACCAACCATTTGGGGTACCCCCATGACTTAGGAAACCTCCATTGAGTGACCTCTAGTGGAAGTAGAGAATCATCCTGGATAAATTGTAGTGACCTTACGTCGCGATGTCACTTGAATGATGCTTAGTGGGAACAATCCCAAAGGGCCGCCGCGACAAGCTGCTGCAGTTCTTTCACTATCGTTATTTGAACGTAAGAGAAACGTATACCCTCTGGTAAACTAACTTAGCTATTGAAAATGGCTATTCATAGTGAATTTACCCATTAAACATGGTGATTTTCCATAGTTATGTTAGTTTACTGGACGGTATATATATATACATAGCCATCAGGTTTCCTACCAGTACGATGATTTTGGCTCGGGAGTTAATGTAATTTATCCAGACATGTTTCGAACATCATCATGTTTTGCAGTTTTACACTCTGGTAAAGTACCAGTTTGCGAACAGGACAATCAGAATCTTAAATGGCTCCGATAGTCGGGCTCTTCAAGATGCAGCCGCCGCAAGAGCGTGGAGCGGGAGGAGCCATCGTGTCACCTAAGCGAAGAAAAAAGAAGTTGCAATGGGGGAAACGTGGGATATTTAGTGGGAATGTAATGAGAATAGACTGGGAATATCATAAATTATTGATGGGGAAAAGGTCGATTTGCAGATGGGATGTGCTTCGAGGATTATTCCACTTAGTAAGTGGTTAGGAACTGGGGTCACAAGTTATAACCCATTTAGAAATGTTTTTTTTTGCGCTTTCGAGATCTAGATTTGCCAGGGTTATTTAAACCACTTACGATGCCAGTGGGATGATTCTCCGAGAACCCCGAAATAACATGAAATACCCTCTGGTAATTTAACATAGCTATTGAAAATGGCCATTTATATATAGTTGATTTACCCATTAAAAATGGTGATTTTCCATAGCTATGTTAGTTTACTGGAGGGTAACTACTTTGATAGGGAACATTTTGGAAAATCATGAAATACCATCAACTTTGTGCGTTACTTTTTTTTTCTCCCTCAGACATACCCAAATAAAACCCTCAACCCAGCCCATCCGACCATCCCTTGGTCCAGAAAAACCTTGCTCACATGAGCAGACATAAAGCTTCTTTTTTTTTTTTGTTTTTTCTGTAGCAAATGAAGGTCTAGGAACTTTATATGAACACATTGGCATCCACACACACATACATATATATATATAAATATATATATATATATCTATGGTGTGTATATATATATAAAACAGAATATAGTTATATATATATATGATATACATACACACACACACCAATATATATATATATATATGTATGATATGATGTATATGTATATATATATACTTAATGCATACTGTGTGTATAGACATATGCTTTGGATAAATTGCGTATGCAACACATGTGTGTAACAATATAGATATCGAGATGCATACAAGCAGATAGACTAATGTACATATACTGTATATATGTATATGTTGTATACATATATGTAAAGACACTAGCATGTTAGGTGGATATGCTTGTGTTTTTTGTTCTTTTGATTGGATCTTGGGGTCAATGCTGGGATTGCAATATTTTGACGTGGTCAGATTGACCAGGATCTCAATATCCCGGTGAAATCTCATCAAAAATCCCTGGTGAAATTCACGTTTGATGCTACCCCCATGAAATTCTCATGAAGCCTGGGGACATTGCCTTCTGAGATTGTGGTTCTTTCGGACATTGCCTTCTGAGATTGTGTTGGCCCAGCCAGACGCCAACATGAAACCACCGGCAGCCAGTGGCAGAATCAAGTCATAAATCCCGCACTGATAGACATTGGAAGATATTGGAAGTAGGTTCGTGAAGGTAATTGTTATTATTTTGTATTCTCCTTCTAGTAGAGACTAGGAGGGAGTCCATTTGCCAGAAGCTAGACGCGCTGCAACAAACAGACAAGATGACTCAACAGGTCTTCTGTTCCCACTAGTTTTCCCCTTACCCCCCAAAAGTGCGTGCCAGACCACGGGATATATCCAACTTGCCAACAGCAATCAGGTGGCGACACCAGTAATTTAATTTTCACCTGGCCATGGAAAATATCAGCAATTTACAGAGGACTTTCCCATGATTTACGCCCGAAAAAGCTGGGATCTCCCACCATGGCGAGAGCAGTATGTCTGAACGGTCAAGATCACCAAGGAGCGACCGATTTCTGGCAGGGAGGGGGCCTTTGGGGTCAGATGTAAGCAGTAATGAAATATAATGCATCATGCAAAACGTCCAGATCGACGTTGCGTTTACATCTCGACCATCTGGTTTTTAACAGTTGAGATGGGCGAAACCACGGCCATGCTTACGAATTGCCCCAGAGGGACCGCAATTTCAAGAGATTTGCAAATTCAACGAATGTTTGAATTTCTTGGACGGATCTAGACTCAGGCATTTGACATCATTTGACCTTTAGCTTGCTTACATCAGTACCCTCTGGTTATTTGTTACATAGCTATTGAAAATGACCATAGAAATAGTGAGTTTTCCCATAAAAAATGGTGGATCTTTCCATAGTTTTCTTTAAACGTTTACCAGAGGGTAAGCTTCCTGAATGGAACCGAACATCATTGAACTGGAAGCCTGACTTCCGAGCCGTTGGGATCTCACAAACACCATCTATAGGAAGTAAAATACACCGACAACGGTGATGGATATTACTACAGAAAACATCAGACAACCATTAATATTATAGGATATTATTATTATACCCAATAGGGGTATCCCATAGTGATTATTGGGTTTACTACAGTTTTTGCAAGTAAACCTTGAGATTTCCATATCTTATCCCGGATCCCGGATTGCCATGTTTCATCGGCAGGGTCGGTGGTGTCTTCTTCTGGCGCATCAATCAGGTTGAAATGGCAGGGTTCCCTTGGGTCAAACATGGCCGGCTGGAATTTCCCAACTATAAATGAGAACATGAGAGGCTTTACTGTGACCATGGCCCAGAAAGATCAGAAAGAGAGCTTTCTTCATGGAACATCGAACTGAACGAATTTTCCAGCCATGTACGAAATACCCAGAGGGTAAAATCACAGTAGAAGTAAGAGCATCAAAGATTGACATCCTCATCTTTCATCATGATGGAAGATGGAACGCTCCTTCAGATCCAGTCCAAACACCCCTTGGAATCCATGTTAACAATGTTTTTTTTTGTCCCGATGCTACCGTATGCTGCCCATTTGTGCAAGATCTGTCTCCAAAATGACCACATTGACATCCCATATGGTATATATATATTATATCATATTACATTACATTACATTTCATATTACATTACATTACATTATATAATATAATATAATATAATATTATATTATATTATATTAAATAATGTATATGCACAATATACATACGTACATACATACATACATACATACATACATGCATGCATGCATGCATGCATACCTACGTACATACAGACATACAGACATACAGACAGACAGACATACATACATGCATGCATACATACATACATACATACATACAGACACACACACACACACGGATACATACACACCGATGTATACATATATACTATATATATAAATACACACACACACATATATATACATATATATATACATATATATATACATATATATATACACATACATATATACAGGTATATTTACATATACATATACATTTATATATATATATATGTATCCACACAATTCCATACATGCGCTTACTGCAGATGGGCCCTGGAGCTAGTTAAATGGTGATTGTAAGTAGCTAATTTTGTTATACCCCATGAAATGCAGCTAGATATGTTTTAGGATATCCATTTACCAAGCAGTTCGCTTCATAGATATCTAAGCACTAGCAATGGTAACCTCACCAGCGATGGCGGTTTAATAAGGCCCGGACATAAGACTTAATCGGGTTTAATAGCCCCTTCCCACCGCCTTATTTGTTGCGGGATGGTGACATTATAACCACTATGACTGTCGCACTGAACAATTACAACACATTATAGATATTACCATCAATTTACTTCAGCATTATAGCCATTATGGTCATCCCTTAACGATATTGTTGGATATCCGTATATTCACACATACACTTAGATGATCTTAGATGGGTGATGGAGCTAGTTAAATGATCGTAAGTGGCTAATTGATGCCAATGGCAATGTATAACCCATGAAATATGCCCAGTCATGAAAACAACTCATATATATATATATCATGAAATTGGAAGATACCTGGCATATATATATATATCTATCCATGCCCAGTTATACTTCTTTACCAGACCCACACATTCCATCGCCCGCGGCTACTCGCGGCGCCAGGCCAAGTATCGCGGTCCAGGCGCGCAGGCGGAGCAGTTGCTGCTGTCGGTGCTGGAGCGCTATGGCGTCACGCGGAGCGAGGAGCCCAAAGGTGCGACGGTCGGGTGCAACGGTCCGGTGATGTCGGTAAATAGCTACATGAAGTATAAATAGGCCATGATCTGTGGCAATGTGAAGCTGGGATAAATGAATTTATCAGATGTTGATGTTTCCAGTGCCTAGAAATGCCAGGTGCTACACTGGTCTGGGCCAATTGCTTCGAAAGCAAGTTGTGGGCATCTGCAGGCCCTGCGGGTTTCTCGGAAACTCTGGTGGTATGGCCAAAAATCTAGGCCTTCCATGGAGCTCATGACTTCGGTAATCAATACAACGGCCTACATGGAACCAGGCGGTGTAAGCGATGCCTGTTGGACCATGGACCACCTCGGTGGTCCCTGGGGTCTCCCTGGGGTATCCCCGGGGTCGCCATGGCAGGGCATTGTTTCATCAACCACTTCCCACGGTCCGTGGAGTTGTCCCACAAGCACCGGCTCTGCGAGACCTTGATGCGTGCGAACTGCAGGCAGGACATGGCAGGCCTGCCTTGGCACAGCGACAACAAGAAGCACATAAAAAGGAATCAGTTCATATCAGATCACAAAACTACATATATATATGTAACACAACCTAAATGAATCTACTGTAGCCATCCTTCAAGAAAAGATAGAAAAGTAACATCCTACCTGAAATAGTGTTTAACTTACTTTTCTATCATTTTTGTTGGTGTCTCTATACATTTCGCTTCCAGAGGGGGCTGCTGCCGAGGCACTTACCACCCAGCTTCATCTTGCCCGAGCAGCTGTCTGACTTCGAGGCTGCCTTGAAGCGTGCTGCTCCGGCGCCAGGCACCGGACAGCCAGGGGAAGTTCCTTGGTTTCAAAAATGCAACAATGAGGATTTAGCAAGGGATATCATCTACCAATCATGGGCTTACTGGTGGTTTCAAAATCTTTCAAACACTTTTGATTTGAAGCCACCCGCTACAGGGTCCGGGAAGGCGCTAGATACGCAACATTTGAGCCGCGTCATGTTCGCCCAAGTGCTGTGTGACCCTGACACCATAGTGCCCAGGAAAACACTTTTGATATTCTATCCTATTTGGGCCACTTATTTTGGGATGATCCAAGTGACTTTTGGATTTGTGGGATGGGTTGGAAAATCTCGGGGTTCAGGCGGGAAATCTGGGATTTAACGAGTAGTGGATTGGGATTTGACACACGGGGGATGTCCAAAATGGCTCTTGTGATGGGAACACCAATTGATGGGATTTTGGTGGACCACCAAGTGTGGAGATCTCATGTGACGACTTCGTGATTCCCTATTGTTTGCTCAAGACCGAATGCTGATGCTAGTAGAAACAACCAAGCCTGGTCTTGAAATATCCTGACATCGTTTATCCCACTGCTGGAAGCCCAATGGCTTTCAGCTTCCAGGGCAACAAAACCTTTCTGAACCACAAGTAACGGGCATTTTACCCACTGCTTTAATCCAATCAGGAACCTCTATGAATGACCGAGCACTCATAGAACCAATGCAGCACTGGAGTTTCGGAACTTGCTGCCATTTGCTGCAAATGGCAGTTATTGAGGCTCCAGAAAACAGTGCAAGCGTTTCTGGCGGTTTCTCGTTTCAAAGGCTCTTTCAACCGGGGAAAGGTTTCATCATGCCGCAGCCACGGTGGAAACTATCAAACTCTTCGGGTGGGTTTGAGGGCCCTCATGGTCCATTTTCAGCGCGCCAGAAGCATCTGCAGAGCTGGGCGATGTCGTCGTTTTTTCCAATCTGCCGATGTCGCCGGGTGTTGCAAAAATGCCGGGGTGGATGGCAATGGGGTTGAAGCGTTTGTGGTTAAAACAAGAAACCATCCATCAAATCACCATTTTTATAAGTGGGATTTCAACCATTCCCAGTCATGGGTGGTTTATGGCATGACGATTCCCAGCCTTGGATGGCCGTCATTCCGTAGATGCAAAGGCTTTTGATTGGAGCCTTTGCCTCTAAATCATCCCATGTTCATTTTTTTTCATAACATGTTCATAGGGACGTTCATAGGATTTTCCATTATAAACACCATCCATGTTGAGGCATTTTCCAGAGATTTCCAGACCAAAAATGGGCTGCCGACCAGGTCTTTCTGGACCATCGGGAAGCGATTCATGGGAAGTTGAAAGCAAGATACGAGGACCGGGAGACGGTGTCCAGGCCAAACGGCCTGGGAAGTGCCGGTCTCTTCTGAATCAAAGGCAACACGGTCAGCAACTTTTTATAGATTTTACTGTAGATGTACTATATATATAATAATAATATAATATAATATAATATAATATATATATAATATAATAAATAAATAAATAAATAAATAAATATATATATACATATAATACAATAATATATATATATATACATACACACACACATATATAATACGATTCTGATTTGATAAGGCATCCGCCAGGAATAGTCCGGATCTTGACATCCCGCAGGACAGCTTTTCCGAACCCAGAAACACGATCCACATGTTTTTATTAACCAACAGTTTGACGATGTTTATACGACCCCCTAAAACAGGTTTCCTGTAGATTTTCCTGAAACCAACCAAGGTGACGATATCTCAGGTAGGATGTTACTGTTCTAGCTGTTTTGAGTTTTGTGGGTTGCTCTAGAATGAGGGATCCCTTAAAAAGATATTCTGGGGTATCAAGTAGGTTACGGAATCATTTCTTTTGGAATAATTTTCCTTGAATAATTTGCTCAAGGGAATGCTCTAAAGATGTCCGAAGAGTTTTCAGATGTCGCCTTCCACAGCCAAGAAGGACTTTGTGGTGCGAGAGGTGTCTCAGCAAGGGGAGGTCGCCCATGGGCCCATGGGGGAAAGGCAGCACCCCACTTTCGTTGGCCTTCATGGGGATATATATATATACAGTAGATACAGTAGAGATAAACACATAAATAAATAAATGAATAAATAAATAAATATATAAATAAGTAAATAAATACATATGTATATATATATACACCGTATATATATATTTATTTAGGGATTATATAGGGATTCAACCAACAAAATCAGGAATCACCTCCCCCAAAAATCCCAAAGCTGACCCCCCAACAAGAAGATAAAATCTACCATCTAACCACGAAGAAGGGCTGACTGTATTGAGCATCTAAATCTATCATGGGGGGTGCCCTTTGGGAGGGGATGGGTTGAATCTGCCTGATTTTCATTGTGGTGCAGCAACCAACGGCTAGAGAATGGTTGACCCGCTTTCATGCCAGTTTCCTCACGGATGATTTGATTTTACCCTATAAAGTCGCCATATTTTGAGTTAAACCCTGGGTAACCCCAAAAACTTGGTTACACGGGGACTCGGGGTCCCTGATAATTTGCACATTTTTATACTTTGTATATGCATCTACTACAAGCATGTTGTGTTACACGAAGATGTGGTTCATGTGGTTCTTGTGACATGGAGATGTTCGACCAGGTCCTCTATGGTTCATCTTCATGAAGTGACAAAGGTGTTGATACGCTGGGTGTTGGTTGGGGTGGTTTCGGGGGGGTGTGGGGGGTGTGATAACGTTCTTGAAAGTACGCTCTTGATGGTTCATCTTCATTGAAGTTGGGTGTTGGTTGGGGCGGGTTTCGGGGGGAGTGGTGGGGTGTTTGATAACGTTCTTGATAGTACGCTCTTGATGGTTCATTCATTGAAGTGACATTCGTGTTGATGTGACGCTGTCCACTTTTTGCGGTACATGAGTTGATATGTTTCCTTCTGGTTCATGTACATGAAGTGACATACGTGTTGATACGCTGTGTATGGTTCATGCACATGAGTTGATGTGTTTGCTTATGGTTCATGCACATGAAGTGACATACGTGTTGATACGCTGTGCACTTTTCGTGGCACATGAGTTGATATTTTTCCTTATGGTTCATGTACATGAAGTGACATACGTGTTGATACCCTGTGCACTTTTCGTGGCACATGAGTTGATATGTTTGCTTATGGTTGATGTACATGAAGTGACATTCCTGTTGATACGCTATGCACTTTTCCTGGTACATGGGTTGACATGTTTCCTCATGAGTTGAACAGGTCAAACACTATCGCTCTGAGTTCACTCGCAAAATGCGAGGAAAGAAGAAGCGAGGATAGAGTAGAGTTGCTGGAACGCAGCAAATTGATAAGATGTGGACGTGGTGCAAAGGCTCCATTTGTGGCCTTGTGAAGACACGCATCGATGGCCTGCCCAACCCACAGTTGTTCAGCCAAACATATCAGTATGTATGGGGAAAGAACAATGTCGACAAGGACTTGTTCCAACTGTTGGCCACGGAACTTAAAAGTTGACGATAAAAGCAATTCTTCTCAAAAAAAAGTTTTGAAAATGATGGGGCGCAGAATCCCCTGCAAATACCATTGGAAAGTGTGTTTTGGGCCCCGTCCTCATGGCATTTCGTGGCCATTTTCAAAGTAGCGATGTTCACAAAACACTGCGAGGGTTGAACAATTCATTGCACGCTGCTGACAATGTTGATTTTGTCAGGGGCGTCGAGCCCCCGTGTTGCCAAAAACTGGGGTATCTTGGCATCTTGGGTTTGGTTCTGCCGGTTCAGCCACATTTCTTCACCATCAGCCGTGGATCTCAGCTGTCGTGGCAGGTGGTGGAGTTGAAGGATACCGACCTGGCAACGCAGTGGCAGAAATCTTCGCCGGGCGAGGTGGCCCGACTGGTGTTGGCCAAGGCCGGGGATGGACTCCATGAAGGGAGGGGTGGTTTGGTTTAAGCATCTTCAGTTTAAACATCGTTTAAACAAACAAACCGTTTAAACCAACCTTATAGGCCCAACCCTGCTACGAACCGTGGTTCCCACATGATAGCTTAGAACTTATGATATCTTCTGACTTATCAAGAATTTCAAACTTGTGCTTCAAATAGTTTTTAACTTATTATATAAACCCTTCCCTTTCGGAATCAACAATGATGAAATGGCATGAAATGGCCCTTACAGCTGGGGCTACACTGCGTAGCTACCAAATATACCCTAAATATACCTTAAAATCCTTAAATAGACATAAATATCACATTATACACCAGATTCGGCCACCTGGGTGTTTTGCAAAGTCTTGAACAAAGACAGGTAGAGACTTTCGGTGCCAGAAAAGAAATCGTTGCGTGGCCGGCACGAACCGCGAAAGACCTTAGCTCCAGCAACACGGTCGTGCCAGGAAAACCGCGACGTTGCAGATGCCATCGCCATGTTGGCGAAGCATCTGGAGATCGATCCCCGCGAGGTTCGTTTCAATGGCCTGAAGGATCGCAGGAGCATCAGCTATCAACACGTCACCAGGAAGCGATATGCTGGAGATTTAGGGTGAGGGTACAATGCTGGGTTAGCCCCATAGTGACTATTAGTGACTTACCCTCTGGTAAAGTTACATATCTTACTGCGTAATTCATCTATAAATGGTCCATTTTCCATAGCCATCACATTTTTCATCACTGCGACTTTCGGAAGAAAGTATGGCGCGCTTGTGCACCACATCCCCATCTCACAATCCGTCCCTCAAAAGCTCTAAACGTTTTTTGGAGTCTAGTCGAGTCAAGAATTTGCTATTTCTCTTTATGGTCAATGTCACTGGTTGGTGGCTCAAGTTTCTTCAAACGTGTTCTGGCCTGGGCTGCTCCCCAATCACATCCAATCAGGTATATTTTTATACATTTTCATGTCGGTTGCAACCACCTGATATTATAACATCTTCCAACCACGTAACACATTGACTTTCCATACAATTACACATCCCACTTTGGGATATTCCGGGATGGTAGGCCACTTAAGTTTAATTTTTAGCCTTATACTGTGCCACCACAGCTTCATTTTTTCACAATTATAGTAATTTTCAGATAAAACGGATGGAGTATTGTTCGGCCAAGTCTAAGTAAAACCGTGGTGAGTCCTGCCCCCATCCCAAATCCCAAGACATTAAATCACCATTTTGGCTGGTTCAGACCCATTACGAATCCCAATAAAAGTTTTAAAAAATCCATGAAATGTCCTTTCAAATCTCACTAAATCAATCTAAATCGGATATAATCGGATCATTTTCCTCCCTGTCCTCCCCCATCTTCCGAAAATGTTGAGGTCAGCCTTCCCTGGCACCGCCTCTCCCTTCGTGCACTGCAACGCCTTAGCACCGGCGTCTCCACCTGGGACCCAGCGGTGCAGCTGGGAGATCTGCGACGAGGAGAGCACTGCCGTGGCTTGGTACCAGGTTATAGTCATCACCAAAAGGATAAGTTACCAAGGGATTGATATATGTAATTGTATATCTTATATGTTTATATCTAATATATGTATATATCTAATAAAAGATATGTATACATCTAATACACACACACACATATATATATGTGTGTGTGATGTATGTATGTATGTATATATATATACAGGGAATGTACTTATGTATGTTAAGCCAGAACATGGGATATATTCCCAATGATGGGAAAACAGCGAACAATATTCGGAACACCATTGACGTATAGTAATCCCCAGATAGAAAAACAATGAAAGGAACAATTTCCCCATTGTAGTGATGAATCACTTTTTGGATCTTTTCAGTAGGTAGGTTACCTCCTCTCACAATCAAATGTGGCTGGCCAGAAAATCCCTTAAAAATGGAAGTTTATAGCTGTGAAATTCGGTTTATAGCTGAGATATTCACCGAAATAAATGGTGGATTGTCCATTGCGACGTTTTATTATCGGAGGGTAATTGATGGGAACGTTAATGGAACTGGATAAGATGGCCTTGAGAAACTTATGAACAAACTTGGCACAATTTGTTCATTTTAGTTCTGGTGATTTCCGCCAGAAAACAATTCGCTTCTAGGCCGGTGTGGCATTGCCACGCATTGATCATTTTGACTTTCTTTACATTCTCTGTTGAAAAACGCACACTGTCCATCATTTTAGGCTGCACGCACATAGAAACCCGCAGTGGTTTCTGTCACGTCTTACCTTTGGAATTCTGATGTCTAGTTGAGTTGAATGTTCCGCAGGCATTTGGATGTTGTTTTTTCATGGTGTTTCCCAATGTTTTTGACATCTAGGATATTTTAGTTGAATCATGGAACGAAACATTGATAATTTGAACTCTTGGAAGAGGCTTTTTGAGAGACCGCAAAACTAACAATCTAGATTTCATGTTGAACAGACTTTTGACTGTTTGCATGAATATAATATTGACAAAGTTGAAGATCGAATGCCTCGCACATGTCTCGGATGCGGCCAAGTGGGACATCACTTGGAAACCTGCGGTTCCAAGGCCGCCGTGGAGATTAGAAGATTGAGATCGAAGTTATAGAAGACCAGATACAAAGCCGGTGCAAGAAACAATCCCGGTCGGAAGAGCAGAAAGTCTGGATATACGAAAGAGAAGGCTCTAAAAGCCTATGCCGAAAAAATGTGAGGAAGACGTACTGTCAAAAACGTACAAAGGATGAACACACTTTATATGCATATACATGGATGTAGCATATGTTGCGTAAAAACATCTACGTACATAGTTCGTAGAACGTTAACATGCCCCACCCCACCCCATCCCCCACCCCCCAAACACAAATATGAATTTTGTAGTGCGGGTTTCTACATGCGTGAATGGTTTTAGTGATAGCTGGCGGAAGTCATAGTACATGCCATGTTTCTTTCCTCCCAGCATGAACCTATCCCAGCTTCCCCCAACTCAGCCTGCCAAGGCCTGGGTGATCTGCGTGGCAACCACTTCACCATCGTCCTCCGCGACGTCTCGTTGCGCCATGGCACGGTCGCTGCGCTCCTGGAGCAGACGCAGCGGGCGGCGGAGCAGCTGCGAGGCGATGGCTTTGTGAACTACTTCGGGGAGCAACGTTCCGGGGGCTGAAGGATGGTTCCATGTGGGGGTTTCCTCAATTTGGGGGTACCCCAATATCTGGATGGGTTATCAGTGAAAATCTTATAAACGTGGATGATATTAGGGGTACCCTTATTTCAGGAAACCTCCATGTGGTTCCATGTGGTTACCCCAGTTTTTGGTGGGATAGGCACCTCAAAACGGCAGAAAACGGCATTCGGAAAGCAAAACTATTTGCGGATAGTTTTTGACACTGATTCAGGAAGAGGCTTGGCCTGGTTCTTTTCCGGACTCCTACACTCTAGCCGAGTCTTTATCACCCGAAGCCACCATCAAATGGTAGACATATGGATAGACATGGTGGGTGTATGTAGGTGTCATACATGTACCTAACAAAATATGCAGAAATGTTTGAGTCCATTGCTACCTCATCCCCGGTCGCCCACTGCGCCTTTGAGGCTTTGGGGGTGCCATGCGCCCGAGCCCAGCTGTGGGAGCAGCGCTCCTGCAGAAGGATTTCCGGCGGGCCTGCGAAGTCATGGTCTGTCAGATGCATGAGGTGCGCTGAAGGGTTCCTGGCGGTTCCTGGTGGTTCCTGGTGGAGGGTTGGTGGGATGTGAGACGTGAGATTCATCGGGGGATGTTTGGAATCATTCTTGATGACGCTTGGTGGAAGGAAATGAGGGAGTTGGGGGGTCCAAGCAGGATTTTTGGAACATTCATTGTCTTTATTGGTTGACTCTTCATGTTCATTTTATTATAGATTTTGTAATCATTGCTTGTATCCCCAAAGTTTACACCCCCTGCTTTATACATAGGGCACCCCCACACACCTTTGTTGGCCATGCTGATTGCTTCAACACTGAATACACCTCCATCAGGTTGGTAGTGCACATGTCATATCATGTCATGTGCACAATGTACTATACACTCACTAGCTGTTCATATTCATGGGATTTCATAGGCATGCATTCTTGGTCCAGTTCCGTGGTTTGCATCTATGTAAAAGAGATGACTCAAATCTCTGATGGTTTCCCATGCCGCTTGAACATGGGCTCAAACCTGATTGCCATCCGCATTCTTTTGTTCTTCAAATTCCATCTCCGCTCGTAGAATGGAATGTCCCAATTGTTCATCAAGAACTATTCCAGAACCTACCTTTACACTGTTTATATCAATCCCCCTCTGTTATACTGCTGGTGAACATCCCATTCCCACTGTCAAAAAGTGAAAACTCCAATCGTTTTCCCATTTCATAGATGAATTCACGCAACAAAATCCGAGATGTCATCGGTAAAACAACTATTTTTTGACCTTTCCTAAGTCTTAAGTCATAACATGTCCTGGGTATATCCTCAGATGTCCTCAAGTATCCTAACATCTCCATACATCTCCCAGGTATTTCAATTTTCACCAATTTTCCCTTGGATTTTGTGACATTTTTGGTCTTTTTGGTCCATTTGTTGCGCACTCGAACCCCCCAAGGCCACCGCCTCCAACGCCCAGCTCCCGGCACTCTTCGCCGCGGCGAAGTTCGCCGCGCTGCGCGCGGCGCTGCCGCGGCGCTGCGCTGCTGAGCGGCGGCTGCTGCGGCGCCTGGAGCGGGGCGAGGGCTTCGAGGCTGCGCTGGAAGAGCAGAAGATGCTTGGCAGGTGAAGGATTTCATGGGGAAACAACAATAAACCAACCATGACTGGGAATGGTTGAAATCCCACCTAAAATGGTGTTTTGGAGGACGCATGGTGATTTATGAAAGATCCATGAAATATCTATGGTAATGAAGGGATAAACAATAATAAACAATCATGTAGTGAAGGATTGGGGATATAAATGGATATAAATGGATATAAACGGATATAAACGGATATAAATGGATATTATATATGGATATAAACGGATATAAATGGATATAAATGGATATAAATGGATATAAATGGATATAAATGGATATAAATGGATATAAATGGATATAATCAATGGCTGTGTTCCTTTCTTTCTACAGTAATGTATCCGATTCTATCAATGGATTATATTTATATAATTGGGATTAATGTGGGTAAAACAAAGATACACCAGCCCCAATTTCACCATAGGTGGGATGTCAACCATTCTCAAATGGATGGTTTATTGTTGTTTTACCTACATCAATGAGGATATAATATAAATGGTTATAAGAAATAATGGGATAACCACACACATATATATATATATATATATGTTATACGTATGTATATAATTGTATATATATATGGGAGAAATCATATAGCACTAAACCTGGCAAAACATGGTGATTTAATGGATATAACCTGATATAACCATCAAACATCATGAAACTGTGGGACCCGGTTGCTTGATGATTAGCTCGGGGATTCTACTAACCAATATCGTGAGGAACAGCAGAATCCATTAGGGGAATTCGGCCAAAAAAACCGACCTATACTGGGCTCGGACGACACAGGATTTTGAACGCTGATCATGGGGTTTCAACATCAAACATGGTGTTTTTTTTCATGGATATTACCCTCTGGTAATTTGTGACATAGCTATGGAAAATCGCCATTTATAGTGAATTTTCCAATGAAACATGGTGATTTTCCATAGTTATGTTAGTTTACCAGAGGGTATGATGTGGATCAATTTTGAAGGTGGGTGATTTTATTTTGGGATTGGCTTTGCGGGGGTCGGGCTTGGTTGGGATTCACTCTCCGCCTCTGGGGGATGGAGGGTGGGAAACTATAATTCAACAAAGCAAAGAATTGATTGAAACAATGAGAATTAAGAGGAGGGGGAACAGGGGAGGCCACATAGAATTGGAATCTTGATGAAAGCTGATGAAAGCTGGTGAAACTTGATCGAAACTTGTATACATGTGCATTTGGTATGTTGTGCTGCTGCACGCTTGAGTCTGGGAACACACTACTGCTGGCAAAAATCAGACCAACAGCGATGTTTATGATGCAACTTGATAATACTTGACATGCAAGATGTATCAGACATGGTCCAGTGCAAATTATATATAATATAAGTATTTGCGTATCAATTTCCCCACGTTTTTTCCGACCGCGCCAAGGTTGTTCTTCTTGAGATCCTTCACGTCACATGTATGGAACCAGGCAGCTAGTGAACCCCTGCTGTCACTGTGGATGATCAACATCTAACAGCACTGGAGGTTTCCCAGGCGTCATGGGGGTACCCCTGGCCATCATCAATTCGAAGTCTGGATTTTCGATTCAACCATCCAGCTCTTGGGGTACCCCCATTTATGAAATCAAACATAAGTGATTCGGAACCTTACGTATGATCCATGATTTCAATGATAAGCATGATCCTGATCAAGCAACTTTGAGCCGCTCGAATCCTTGGTCTTTGTGGTCCACTTGAAGAGTTATTTCCCCAAATCATATATCAGTATTATCAGTTGGAGTCACACACACGAATAAAATACATATTGCACTCTGGTAAACTAAGACAGCTATGGAAAATCACCATGTTGAATGGGTAAATCAACTATTTCTATGCCCGTTTTCAATAGCTACGTTAAATTACCAGAGGCTAATTGTTATAATTATTGTGTTTGTGTCCCACAAACTCCTCCCATTGAACAGCCATGAAACCCCTTAGATTTGCTGAAGGCAATGTTTTGGGGAATCTACTGGGGGTTGGCTGCCGGTTGGCTCTTAAGCAAATCCAAGACACCATGAAACCCCAATGAATCACTGTTAAATCAGCATTCATCATACTTAACGATAGTTTATCATAGTGAATTCTCATGAATTCCCCCTAAATCCCAATTTTTTCCCATTCAATGACCATCTGCAGCTGCCATTTCTTTGTGAATATCAGGTGGTCACCCGGCGCTTGCAGCGCTTCGGCTCTCGCGTCTTCCCGGAAGATCGGGTGATCGATGGCCTCGATGGGCTCCGTGGCTGAGATCAGCTTTCTGGCCGTGGCCAAGATCGGGTTATACCACTCTGCACACAGAGATCTAATGATATACCCTCTGGTAAATAGACCCTGAAAATAGCCAATTTTCATGGAAACTAGTCTTCCAACCCCTATCTGCCAGGGTCTATGTTAATTTACCAGAGGGTAATATATAGTCACTGAATATTGTATAGCATAGTATATCTATGTGCATATCAACATCTATATTATATAATTTTATATGCTAACACATGATATATTTTATGTAGTTACTGATATTACTGTATATGCCCTGGGGTCAACTAACAGAGATCCTATGGAAAATGAGTTTTCCACATCTTTTTGGGAAGTTTACCCGAACGGGTACCCTTGCTTTCCTACCGGCTTTGGCTTCAACTCCATGAGAGGCATCCGCATTCCTGAACGCTGCACTTGGTTTCTCCACTTTTCCCTGGATTTCTCCACTTATCCCGACTGAATGTGGCTTCTATCATTTTGATCCGTTTTCGGGCCCACTACGATGTATAAGCTATACCATATATATATATACATACTATATATACACATATTTAGCAACCCCGAAATAGATAGACACGTGGGAAACCCTGGAAATAAGCACATATTTTCTGGAATAGCCTGGAAACACTTTTCTATCTTTGGGTGTGCTATACACATATATGATCATATATGAGAATGTATGTTATTTATAATGCACTCTATACATCTTTGTAGGTGATATATATATATATGTATTATGTATATATATATATGTGCGTGTGTAATGCATTTTCATATGTAGGTTGAATTCGATGTAGTGGGTATGTGCTGGATATACGCCATATGCATTGCGCTGTTTCACAAAGGCCCGTTGGATGTAACTGTCACAGGCTCCATGGATCCACCATGCGCAGTCACTTATGAATTGGTGCAGCCAAAGTATGGGTCACCACTCAGATCAGCAGCCATACCCTCTGGTATGGGTCCCACTTATAGCCGATTTACCTATTAAAAATGTTGATTTTATGGGATTTAATGGGATTTATTAGGATATATGATGGTATACCCTCTGGTAATTTGTGACATAGCTATTGAAAATGGCCATAGAAATAGTGGATTTACCCATTAATAGCATGGTGATTTTCCATAGTTACGTTAGTTTCCCATTTTGTTTGTTTTTCGGATTTTTCACAGCATGTTTTTCATCATCACCAAGCTCCCGGACTTGGATGGAGGGACCATTTTGGAAAACCCAACATCAAACGCTAAAAAGATGCAAGACCCATGGTTTTCGATTAAACATTTCCCAAGAAAACTATCCAATGATTGCTTGATCCCCATGGTTGAGATTCCATTGATATATCCCCATTTTCCATGGATTTTCCCATAGATTTTCCCATGTCCCATGGATTTTCCCGTAGATTCGTGGCTCCAGCGCCGAGGACCTCCGGGCCGCAGCTGCGCCACGTGCTGCTGCCGCTGCCCGACACGGCCTCCGCGGCGGTGCCGCAGCTGCCGCAGGCGGTGCGGGAGATCTACGAAGAGGTGCTGACGGAAGCGAAACTGGAGCCTTGGCGCTGCCGGGGTGGTTGTGGAAAATCATGGTGGATGATGCACATTTATATTCATATAATTATATATATATATGATATATCTACACATATATATATATATCTATAAATATGATTATAGATGGATATATGCATATATGCATATATGTATTCATTTAATAGGATATGATCATAATTGGAGTCTTGGAGTGTAGACATGATCCAACATAATTCAATCAAAAACAGGGATCTCAGCTGAAGCGCTGAGAAGTCTCAGAAAGACGAAGATGCGGCTGGCTGCACGAAACATGGCTTGCTGGACAATCCACCGTTTATACCCTCTGGTAAACAAACAGTTTGCTATTGAATTTGGCCCAGTCGAAATAGTGAGTTTACCACCCATTAATAGCATGGTGATTTTCCATCGTTTTTTGTATGTTTACCAGGCCGTTTATAGACGATTTCCAATTAAAACCTTCATTTAGTTCGTGGATTTTTCCAGCTTGCCATGTTTGATGGCATCGGAGGGTATCCCCAAAAATATGTCCCAATTCTTGAGAGTAAAAAAATCCTTTTTATCACCAGAAAATCCCATGAAATCAAAAGTATTCATTCTAAAATTCCATTCAAATCACAGTTAATGACTCGAAAATCCCATCAAATCACCATGAATCACTTTCAAGCTCCATTAAATCACCACTAATCACTTGAAAAGTCAATCAACACCCCCTTAATCCCTCTCAAACTCCATTAAATCACCTTAAATCACTCTAAAATTCTATGCAAATCAATAAGAACCTAAAATCCCATAGATGTCCTTTTCCCATTGGTTGGTTGATTCATAGAGAGGTTTTTGAAAACAAACCCTTTCAACAACAGGTAAATGGTGATAGATGATGATAGATGGTTTTTACCGGTTTCCGGCCCCTAAAAAAAAATGACCAAAAGGACATGAAATTGAAAACAACCAATCTCTCCTATAGGTTTCCTATTTTTGAAACTTCCGCCACCGCCTTGTGCGGTACTACTGGTAAAATTCCATGCCATTTTCCCATTGAAACACCATGAGATTCCCAAGGACCCACCTGGGCAGCGCCCTTCGCTCTCCGTCCCCTGGCGTCGCCTCGTGGCGCAGCCGGAGCTGCTGCGGTGCCGCCTTGTGGCCTATGAGGAGCCCGTGGAGCGCCTGGTGCTGTCGGCCATGGACACGTTGAAAGGACGAAAGTTGGAGGACGCTGGGAATTTCATGCAGGATTTTCCATGGATTTTCCTATGGAAATCATGGATTTTCCTATGATTTTCCATGGAGTTTCCGGAAAATCATGGATTTCCCTATGATTTTCCATGGAGTTTCCGGAAAATCATGGGCATCTATAGATTAGATGGATTTTCCATGATTTTCCGGAAAGGATTTTAGGGAGTTTGATGGAGCATAGTATAGTATAGCAAACCCAAGTCATAGAATTTCTTTTAGCAAACCTTCAGGGTGGGGCTTCAGTTTGTTAGCTCCGTTGGTGTATAACTTCAATAGTCGAGGTTCATGGGGGATATAAAACTATAGTTATATAACGAGGATTACGAACCAACTTATATGTAACTGGGGGGCACCCTGCGACTCATAGAAAAGTGAGAAACCTGGAAATGCGAAGTAAATATCATCGATCAGATCCTGAAACACTGTCCGGCATCTTTTTTGGGGTTAGCGATGGGGTTTCACCAACCAACGATGGGATTTCACCAGCAAATATGGGATCTATCATGGGGATGCACGGGGTGAAAAAACGATCGGGACCAAGAAAGATGCGTTTTATTGGGGAGGATGGGGGTTGGGTTCGGGATAGGGGTTGGGGATGCAGTTTTTTTTTTTGATGTTTTTTTCTCCTCCAGAATTGGAATTACGGGGGTGGGTCAAAGCCTATGACTTTCCATAACGGGAGTTCGCCCAGTGCTGTCAGTGACAGAAATGGGGATTCGGATTTCAGAAATGGGGAGCTACTGTCAGCAGAAAGGAGGATTGGGGAAAGAGACTTTGAGATTTGAATGATTTACCCTCTGGCAAACATACAAAAAGCTATTGAACATGGCCATTTATAGTGGATTTCCCCATTGAAAATGGTGATTTTCCATAATTATGTTAGTTTACCAGAGGGTAAGCAAGAGAGATGGGGAAAAAGAAAACGCCAGGCACCAGCGGACATATGCGGACATTGCAATCGCAACAACAGGAAACCAAGGCTGAAAAAACACCCTGGACTTCCCCAACAGGTGCTTCCCGTTGATGCCTGGTTCAATTTCGTTTTCAAAAATCAGGGGGTATAGCCTCTGGTAATTTAAGTTCAACTATTGTTTCAAAATCTTCAGTCGAAATCGTTGATTTCCCTATGACAAACATGGCGATTCTCCAGCCTCCACCGGTCGTTTCCAGTGAGGATGGGATCAATCCCTTGGAGTCGCACAAAAGTCTGCAGGATCCAAGGTATGGTGACCTGCTTTCGATGGGATTTTCGCGATCAAATTGGGAAGGTCCGAAATCGTCAATGCGCGAGATGTGGCCGGCCGTGTTTTTTTTATGGACCTACTGTGGGATGAAGGTCAATGATCACTTTTCGAACTAAGATGAAAAACGATTTTTTTCAGTTAAGGGATTGAAGCAGGTGTGTTTGGATGTGTTTGGGATTGTTTAGATATGTTTAGATGGGCATGATCAGGCATGATCGGTCCGTGCGGTTTGCTGGTTGATACAAGACTGGAAATCCTTCTGTGTAATTACGACATATTACGACGAATATCAAAGGAATACCAACTTATATGAAATGTTAACATACTAGGTCTATTGTATGAATATGGCGTGTGCTTGGCTTGGCTTGGTCGTTTTAATTCTTCGTTTTCTATCATTTTCTATCCTGGGATGATCCCCAGCATACCGGCATCGGTTGCTCCTAGAGCAAGGTATCATCATGGAACTCCAGCTGTCCGCGGGCGAGTACGCCACCGTGGCCGTGCGGGAGTTCATGCAATGCTCGCCGCAAAATGCGTGGCCAAAAACGCCACGGACGTGCGGACGTGTGGATTGCTGCAGTGGTTTTTTTCTCAGGGAACATTTCATGAACAGCGTCATCAACAAAAACCACTACACTGAGTTGAACTGGATTAAGAGTTGTTTTTTTTTTAAACATACATTGCCAATTTGTGCTTTATTTGGGAAGTCTTATCAGATTCAATAAAGGACTAGTAAGTCGGCACATGTCGGCACACTGATGGCAAGCCCATTTGCCCAATCATCAATCATGGTGCCATTTGAGGCTGGTTTGGAATGCAGTTACTAAAGGGGGGCACTAGCAGATGCCCCTTCTCCAAAGGGGGGGGCAGGGCGGCACATAAAATCACCATAGCCAGGTCGGGTAGATTGTAAATTTGTTTTCAAAAAAATAAAGGGGAAACATGACCAAACATGACCAAACGAGGATTTACTTTTCTTCCGTTCTACTAGTAGGTGCCGAAGACCGTGTTTCCGACCGGAAGTTTGTGTTAACTGTTTGATGGGTTGTTTTATTTATGATTAAACATTTAATGATTATGAGGGTCGTTTGCGGTTGTTCGGTGGTGTCTTGGTTTTGGCATCAACTTCTACCTGGGGACTGCAACAACAATTGCAGTTGACTGGACGATTTCCACTGCGACCAGCCATTCAAAGCATTACAAAACGCATGAACCATCCTACCCGAAAAAAGTGACCAATTTGGTCAAATCTGATTCTAGCACAATGACTTAAATTGAACCTGCTCTGAATGTTTTGTGATCAGCAATCATTCAAGCCAACTAGAAACACACAACAAACATCATGAAAAAACTAGCTTTCCTACCATTGTAAAACGCATAAACAATCATCTAATTCTATCTTTGGGCGTTGCTATTAGTTTTGCCAGATCCTTGGTACCCAAAAGAAACTAGATAGAAACACTACCCACTAGATAGACAATTATAAATTATATAAATGACAAAACTAGATTATATTCTATACATATTTATAGCCTATAGCCTATAGTTTTTTTTATCGAAAACTAGATAGAAACTAGAAACAACTACATGCTACAAATAGAAGAACGGTAGTTTTCAAATGTTTGTTTTTCTCTCGATAACAACAGACAGTTCAATCTACTAGATATTCATAGATATTTGGCAGCTTTTGGGAGGCGACATCCTTGGTTGTCACTGGATCCTCAAGCCCGGTCGTTCCGGTGGTGGACGTGGGGTGCAGGCGATTTTGGACGAAGGGGTCATGGTGCGAGTTCACCAAGGAAAAATGGTGATGAACATGGTTTGAACATCAGAAATGATGATTTTAGCTAGGGAACACCGATGAAATGACTTAAAAACAGTACGGATGAAGACGTCAGAAGATTTTCATTCACCATAACCCCGGACATCGCCAGCAAAGTGTTTTCACGGCAGGGTATCAGGTTCATCCATACCTAGATGAGGATCACAATCATTGAACCCCTGTTTTCTGCATAGTTACCATTGTGATTCCTAGATGCTATGAATCTAATGGTGATATAAATCTTAGGATGGCAATAGAAACTATCAATGGACTCATTATGAAAACCCAAACATCCGCAGAAGTTATAACAACTTCACGTCGCTTTACGTCGAATGACGGGAACCTAAAATAGAGGTAACCATCCCTTAAAATGCCCCGATATGTACATCCACACAGCATCATAACGATGAAACACAGTATCCCATCCATCCATAATTATAATTCAGCGAGATGGATGGGATCATACCAACATTCACCCACCTCAGCCGTGGGTCGCTGAGAGATGTAGGTCATTTGCTGTGACCCAGAGACTTCTGCCAACGATGCTTGGGCACCTGATACACGAAACCATAAGCCATCCCCAACATTGGGGTTTCCTAACTGGATCCTCAAAACCATGGGTTTCGATACTGGGATGGTCTGATGTTGGATGATTTGGGGTATGGTACCCCTAGGAAAAGTTAGGAAATCTCCAGATTGCCAGAAATAAGTGGTATAAGTATAAATCCTTTGGTTTACCACTTGATTCCTGCATTTGAATCACTGTCGAACACCTTTAGAATCTTTTAGATACTTCATCTGGTTGGTGGTTTGGAACATGATTTTTTATTTTTCCATGCAGTTGGGAATGTCATCATCCCAGCTGACGAACTCATATTTTTCAGAGGGGTTCATATACCACCAAGTAGTCATGATATTTCCGAAGTGCAAATCCAGAATCTGGTTTCATGCCACGTTGGTTGGTGGCTTCACAATCCCTGGAGATGCCTCCACAAATCTGGAGAAATAATGACCAGTTACGGCAAGCTTCGTGCTTTATAACATTTTATAATCCCATGCCCCCATCTATAAATGAATCATGGGTAAATATACCATACATGGGGTTATAATAATAGACCATAAATGACTATAAACAACATATAAACAGCAACAAAATGGATAGCCATGACGAAAATTTCTGAGAATCCATAGGTGGGAATTGGAGGGAACGGTTCGGAGCATCCTGGATCTGCATCTTCCGTACTAGTGAGTTTCCCGTTACCACATGATCATCTTAAAGCAAGAGAAATGGTGATGGGTCAAAACAGCCAAACACCTATGATTTTCCAGAAAGTTTGGGGAAAACAGCCAAGACCTATGTTTTTTTCCCATCTTTTCCATTTTTTCCATAGTTATATCTACCATAAACCATTGAATTCAGCCACTTATAAACCAACTGAACGCTATCTTGGGGGCCCCATCCTGCAGATATGACTCTCAAAAAATCCTGCTCCCAGAGCTCAAGGTAGCCGCAACGTTTGAATCCTTTGGCGCCTCTCCTGCAGTGGTCAGTCAATATGTCAGGGGACCCCAGTTTTTTTCAGTTTTTTTCGCTTAAAATGGAGAGATTTGCTGCTGAAGTGATTACGCGACCATTAAAATATATTAAAATATGGCAATATGGGGAACCCTTTCAGTTCGATCATTTTGATTCCTTTTTTCTGAGTCAAGAGTGATTTTGGATACAAGACATGGGATTGCTTCCCTGAAGATCACCAGTTCATGTATAAGATTATATAAGTTCTTTACAGGACCTGACATTTGACGCCGTTTCAACTGGATCTTGGCCGGCCCTAATCGTAAAAAGGCATCACTTGGCCCATGCTCTTTGGAGAAGAACTTGGTGAATTGTAGGTCAATGGTTTGTTTTCTAGCCATTTTCATGGGGTTTAGTTCCTTACACAGCATCGGTTCAAACACATTTTGTTGCAGGGCCAAAGGCCTCCAGCACCATGACCGGGTTGGAAAAAAACTGGGAGGCAGTGGTGTCCAAAAGAGGCGAAACTCTTTTGGAAGTAAAGAATGTAGAGATTTCGTGACTTTGGGCTTAAACATGCTTAAACTGCTTAAACATGCTTAAACATATGTCCAGGATTTATGCAAAATTAAAAAAACGTGACATAATTAGTTTGCCCAGCGACAGAGGTCCAACGTCCCTTGCTGGTGGAGGGGAAGAAGGTGGACCTGCGGCTGTATGCGTTAGTGACCTCCTTTGGACAGGACGCGGTGGGAACTGGGAGACAGGGAGTTCACATGGGAAGTCCATGGGAAGTCCCATGGGAAGTCCATGCCGGAACATCAAGCAATTTATGGTTTGGAACTGGGAAAATTGTGGAAAAAAATTGACATGAAAAAAGTTTCTGGATGGCTCAATGCCTTGGTTTTTCTGGAACAATGGAGAGGCCCCACTGCCGCCACATCGCCACATCGATCACCAAAGTTTGTGAAATCTCCTCTGGTGGACCCCAACAAATAGTTTTAAAGACCTTTAACTTACATCAAAGATAGTAGATATTACCCTCTGGTTAAACATAGCCATGCTATAGATGGCCCATTTATTTATAGGTGGTTTACCAGCCTCCAAGCCGGAGGAGCCATCAGAGCTTCGCGTAGCTTGGCGAGTTGCGCGAGTTGCGAACGCCGGTCGAGAGCCGAGAGATGACTGGGAAAACCGGCCGGAAAAATCATGGGAAAATGGAGGTTTGTCATGGAAAAATCCATGGAAAACCATGGCAACATGCCGGAACATCAACCAGAAATGGAGGTTTGTCATGGGAAAATCGTCGATGGTAGCCATTCTGTTGGTCACTGCCTGTGATTTGAAGATCAGGCGCAACCCTGACTTCCCCTTTTTTCCTGCAGTGAATCTCAAAGAATATTATCCTCCAGTAAATTAGCATAGACCCTGGCAGATAGGGGTTGAAAGACTAGTTTCCACTAAAGATTGGTCATTTTCAGGGTCAACAAGTTAATTTACCAGAGGGTAATGGATACTTCACAGAAAATCCCAATGACTCATTTTGCCTTCGCGTTAACTGTGCATGATCACTACAACGGTGGATAATGATGAACATGCCCCTCATTGGGGTTATCAAAGCACTAGACAAACGTCCAATCGAAATGATGTACCCTCTGGTGATTTAAGAGCTGGCTTTGGAAAACCACATTTTTTAAAGGTAAAAAAACATCGCACTAAATAGGCCATGGCTTCCATAGCCATGTTAGTTTACTGGAGGGTAAGTTCCATGTTCTCGTCTGACAAGTAGCAAATTTGGCGTTCCCAGCTGCGAAGTTGTGGCCTTTCAGGGGACGATTTACTTCTCAAAGCCTCAGAGGCGACTCAGAGGTGTCATTCTCCCCTTTTAGCTTAACAGATTGCGTCCTAATTGTCATCTAATAGTATCTAATAAGTATCATCAAATAATGATAAGGGTTGTAAATCTTCTAATTATCGAATATTATAAATCCAATCTCCACAAAGTAGATAGTTGGATGGAGTCCATCGGTCAAGCATTTATTGGCTACTTTGGTTTCTACCATGTTTCCATTATTATTGATGACATTGTATTTCGATGTGTCATCAATGGTATCCAATTCTGGATTCTTTGAACCCAGCATATTATCCAAAATCATCCAAAATCCACCAACTAGTCAATAACTATATATATATCTGTGGTTGGTGGTTTGGAACATTTTTTATTTTTCCATATCTTGGGAATAATAATCCCAACTGACTATTATTTTTCAGAGGGGTTGAAACCACCAACCAGATAGATTTTTTCAAGGTGAACTATCCCCAAATGGCCGAACTTTTCAGTACCTGTCCTTCTTCGCCAATCGGCTGGGAAGATTGGTTGCCGAACTTTTCAGGTTAGTGAATTACTACATGGGTCCCCCAAACAATAGCTAAGTTAGTTTAGTTCACTCCAATAAAGTGCGGTTTATGGCCGGCCTTTACAACTAAAGTATTCATATGTATTCATGGGGTTTCTAAACCAACAAGCATAACTGGGGGGCCTCATCTTGTACAAACCCGTTTGTGATGTATGGGCCGTATGGGTCCCATTAAATGCTATGATATGCCTATCTCAATCCCATCAAATCCCCATTCATTCACTAGTAAATCACCAGTATTGGTATTGGTGTTATGCATGTGTGATGAATGTTAAATCACCATTCAATCACCATTTATGGCGTATAAAACCGCGCACTTTCAGGTGAGTGAACGATTTGTTTTTTTCCGCCCGAGGCATACCTCTACACCGAGGGCTTGGTTCGCTTCTGTAGTGAAGCCTTCACCCTGGACCCTACGCAGCTGTGCAATGGCTGCGTGCACCTGACCAACAACGAGGCGGCAATGGCCCAAATGGCAACGGGGCTGCGGCAATGGGGCAGATTTGGCACCACTGAAAGGGTGGATTTTTGGTTCAACAAGTGTGGATTTGAGCGATGGGAGATTCACCAAAAAAGATACGAGTATATTGGTATATGGGTATGGATCAATACCTATTAATACCATTTTTAGGGGGATGAACATCCATAAATCCCAGCTATTTTGATGTTCACCAGGGGTACCAGGGTTTTGACACACTGCCATATTGGTATAAACAAGAAGAAACAGGAATTAATCGAGGAAAGCCGTAGGATATCATAGGATATAAGCAAGAAAAGTTGGGATTTCACCAAGAAATAACGGGGATTTATGATTTAAACATCAAGGAGAAGGACTTACCCATCGAACTGGGAATTTAACAATGGTTGCATCTCAAAATGTGGGATGTGCTCTTAATTTGTGGCAATCCCTATAGAGGGGAAATGATCGAAACTATTTTTTAAGCTTTGAATGATTGGGGGTTTAGCATTTTTATCCATGCCATGGATGCTTCTTTCATTCGCCCGGGACTTGGGTGGATTTTTCGATTCTGTTTGTCGCCAAATCTTGATTTCAGAACAAATTATGCGGAGTTTGAAGCCCAAAACTGTTTGGAAACCGCGATATTGATGGATTCTCGATGGTTGAACATAGATAATCATACTGTAGATATCCCAATTTGTAAGGCCATGATCTCCACTCCATCCACGTGCGTTGCAGGTGAACGCGTCGCCCGGCGGCATGGTTTTCACTGAAGGAAACTGAGGTCCTTTTTTTGTGAGAAATCTCCAAGTACCCTCCAGTGTCATCAAAGGTGGCAATGGAAAAAAACATGAAAAAAACCTATCAATGGAGGTTTTCATGGGAAAACCATCCATAAATTGGGGATTTCCATTGCCATGTTTGATTACAATAGAGAATAGGGTAGATTCAAAAGTAGATCATCCCTTATCCTTTGGTAATTTAACATAGCCATGGATAAATATTCATTTCTATCGTATTTACCTATTAAACATGGCAAGTTTCAATGGCCAACTGTAATTACCAGAGGGTCAATGTTTGGAAGTCTCGGGAAGTGTAGCCTTCCACTTGTACATCTTGTACCTTTTTCATCCTTTTTCACTTGAAAACTTGCCTCATTAAAATACCATGAGGGTAGATCATGTTTTCACATGTTTTCACCAGTCAATCATCAGTAAATATCATGGTAAGCTACCACTAGTCATCACCATGAAAATACCATGAGGTCATCATGAAATCACCATGAAGTCACCATGAGTCACCGCTGCTAAAAGCGACTCACGACTCGCCCCCTCAGGAAGAACGCCAAGGCGGCCACCAACCGCCCGGGCTCGGCGAACTGCGGCAACTGGCGGCTTTCGAAGCTCCTTTCGTGGCTGCAAGGCATCCCAAATATGTGGAAACTTTCCTACTAAAGCATGGTTTAACTGGGGTGTGTTGAATATGAACGGAGGAAGGGATGCTGAATTTTGAGACTTGAGAATACTTGAGATGATTTTGAGTTTGGACACGTTTGGACCCCGCTTCATGACGAGAAATCCGACTTTTTGTGTCGGGCCTTCGTGAGGCTTGACCCATGCCGGTTTTCTAAGGATGTCTCCTGACATCCCCAATGTGTGCCAATGAGATTTTTTGGAAACGTAATGAAACGCAAATTGAGTCTTGAAGAACTGTAGAGGGGTACACGGTACACTCATTTGGCTATGGATCAATACCTATAAGTACCATTTTTAGTGGGATGAACATCCATTTACCAGCTATTTTGGGGTTCACTAGGTACCAGGGTTTTGACCCATCCCCATTTCATCTCATGTGGTGATGGCCATTTTTCATGGAATCTGCACGGGCCAGGTCAATTCCAAAGCTGTTCTGACCTAGAGGACTGACCTAGAGGTCGTTGGAGATGGTTGATGGACGTTTGATGTCAACGGATTAATAAACCATGGTTTATTCATTAAGGGGGTACCCCCCCAAATAGTTACAATCTTATATTCAACTGATCTTAAGTAAACAACCTACCAACCTAGGATTTGATTAATCCAGGCTTGACAGTTACCACATTACTCACGCAAGGGTAACTTTCACTGAGCAATCCACAGACTTGCGTCTTGTTCTTGCTATCAAAGCATCCGTTTTTTTGGGTGCCTCTGGCAATTAAACACGGGTATGCTGTAAACATGGCACGGGAATATCATGGAAAATGTCACATTCGTAGATTATGCCCTTGAAACTTGAAACTGGGGATTCTTTATACCCAAGTCTGATTACCAAAAGGGCATGATCAAAATTCCAGATAAACTTGGTTGTATTTTACATTTGAATCCCTTTGATCATCTTTGACCCAATGATTTTTGGTGCACCAATGTAGGATTTTTGTCATTTGAATCCATTGACCCATTCCCATTTGAATCCATTCCATTATAAATTGGACCTCACCCTGGAATGTTTTGACTTATGCCACATTTTGTAGGACCTATGGCCACGAATTCGACGTCTTGTGGTGGATGTGCTTCAAGCAGCCAGGTCCGACCGGCTTGGGGCTTGGGGAATGTTGGGGATTTCCTCAGGAAAATCTCCAAAGGAACATCTAATATAGCAACCCCCAAAGGATAAAAAGGGTTAAAATCCTTCTTACATCTGGTTGGTGGTTTGGAACATTTTTATTTTTCCATATATTAGGAATAAGAATCCCAACTGACGAACTCCATCATTTTTCAGAGGGGTGGCTCAACCACCAACCAGACATGGTGATAATGGACTTTTCTAGCTTTTTTGATTTTTCTCCTGCTATGGATCAAATGATTTGGATCCGACAGGGCCAAGCAATGGGGGGAGCCGAGCTGTCATCCAAGTTATTGGTCATTTTGATTGGAATTTCACAGACATCTAGATTAAAGCAGTCAATTTGGATTTGACATTTTCTGGTTGGTGGTTTGGAACATGACTTTTATAACTTTCCATTCAGTTGGGAAGTTCATCATCCCAACTGACGAAGTCATATTTTTCAGAGGGGTGGCTCAACCACCAACCAGTTATATATATATATGGTCCCGTCCTCCGTCTCTCCACCCCCCCCTCCATGGGTTGGGTCCCCAGGTAGTAGCCCCAATTCCCTTCTATTTGCAAGCTATTGGCAGCATTTCTGAGGTCCAGCTTCGTATTTGCTAGGTCTTTGCAGCATTTCTGACTACCAGCCTCGCATTTACTAGGTACATGCTACCTTTTAGGCGACCTACGTAGCACACATACTCCTTCAAAGTACCTACGTGCTACCTATAGTCATACATATATGTGCTATGTATCTACTGTATCTACTTCCTGTTTACTACCTGTGTACTCTGACAACACTACCTCTGTTGAACATATACCGTACCTACCATACATGTCAATGATGCCATGCATACCATACCTATCATATCTATCATACATACCATACATACCATACATATGAAATGTAATTACCACACCTACCATACATACAATAGCATACATACAATAGCAAGCATACATGCCATACATACCATACCTACCTTAGATAGGACATATTCCATACCCATCATAGTAACCATACATACCATACAGACCATACATACTGTCATATCAAACATACCATATCCAACAGACTTACATACCATACCTACCATCCATACAATACCAACCACTCATGCCATACATACCATACCTACCATACATACCAAACATACCATACTTTCCAAACATGCCATACCAGACCGACCATACACACCATACATACCCACCATACCATACCACACCCCCACCACACCACAGGGGGGGGAGGGGGAAGATCTCATATGGGACCAGTATATGGGACCCATCCCATATGGGGGGGGGAGGGGGGGGGTGGCAGGGCCTGGTGCATATATATATATAGTCAATATATATATATGTGTATATTCTTCCAGATTGTTGGTTATATTCCCATTTATCCCAGTTATATATTGTTCTATTCTAGATTGATCTATTCCACAGTCCATCCACTGCTTTAATGGGTCTAGTCGATGCAATCGACTAGACCCCAAGATTTTTGCTGCTTACATCCCGCGAAATCGCAGATCATTTTGGTTATATATGACCATTTACATTCTTGAATGCCCATAAAATCCCCAATTTAAAGATGTTAAAAGCATAGTTACTTACTATAACCCATTCAATCCCCCCTTAAAAAATCTAATTAGAGCCCATTGAATACCCATAGTTCAAAGCCAATCATTTTATACCCCATCCTTGGTTGCATGGCCCGCAAGGCCCCAGATTGCTGCCGCAGTAGCTGAGCTGCCGAGCGATGCGCAGCGGCGTTGCTTCGAGTGGCTCGGCGGTTTTCAGCCGGGCTTGGGAGTGGTTTGGCATTACCAAAAGGATGGTTGAAAGCCTATAAAGTGAAATTTCCAGAAATCCTGTTACTATCCCAGATGCGAACCATGGTGCTGGAATATTTACCTACATTTGGACCATTTTTTTGAGGTAGATGTCGGCAAATATTCCAGCACCATGGTTCGCATCTGGGTATGGTACTTCCCTGTTACATGGTCCTGTGGATGGTTAAGAAAATCCTGCATCACCAATTTTGGATGGTTGAAAGCCCAACAAAAAAACCCATGGGACCTTTACCATCCATCGGTGCAGGATTTCGGGAGCAGAAACGGAGCTAGTTTGGTGAGTTTTTTGAGGAAACATGATAGGATGAGGATGATGAAATCATCTGGCGGTGCTATGAATCATCATTAACCATCATTAACCACATTAATAGTGATGGTGATGGTGATGATGATGATGGTGGTGGTGGTGGTATGTGGTGGTGGTATGTGGTGGTGGTGGTGGTGATGATGATGATGATGATGATCCCTAAATCACAAGGACATCACCAGGTCCATGTAATTTATGGCCAGGAACACAAGGTGGACCCCGGCCATGAACTCTCGTAATGTCTACCATAAACCATAGTTAACCATTAGCCATAGTTTACCATCGTTTACCATACGTAGTTTACCATGGGTTTAAAGCAACTTAGCCATCCAGGGGGCACCTCGCGGGTTTTTCTTGCTCGAAACATCTGCAGATCTGAGGTTATTCGGCTTCGATGTGTTGGTGGACGAGTCTCGGTCAACAGGGGACACCCAATTCTTTGGCAATTCCAATGGGGAAAATGAATGAACATGAATCAACATGAGGCTTTCATAGGTTTTCTACCATGAATGGTAGGAACAAAAATCAATACACATTTCAACCAGGGGGGCGTTTCAATCTATCGAGTGATGGTGCCGTGTTTCCTTACAGGATGGTGCCCCCCAGTGATGTGAAGGTTGGTTTATAACCCCCATGAATATTATAGTTCTATAAGTTATATCTTCCATAAGTTATATACTATAGTTACTATAGTTATATCTTCTAAGTTAAGTTAATACTATAGTTACATAAGTTATATCTTCCATCAACCATCCTTAATTCAGCCACACCAATATCTCAAACGCACCAACCAAAACAGGCAACCGTGGCCCCACCCTGCGAGTTGGCTTAGTGAATCCACCACTTAGCCTCTACCAGAACTATGGAACATCTATGGATAACTATGGATGGTCCCATGGTCCATATAGAAATAGATGATTGATGTGACCATGGTCCATAGAAATAGATGATTTATAGATAATTGATGATGATTCACCGAAAAAAAATAACCTGGTGATTTTCCATAATTAGCTACGTTCAATTCTCTCAGAGGGTCGTTCGATGATATTCCCATTAAAACATATTAAAACCATGACACTGACCAGGATATTCCCATTAAAGCCAGGATAACCAGGATATTCCTATTAAAACTATTAAAACCATGAGATTCCCGTAAAAACCATGATATTCCCATTTGGTTCCGCGATTTCCCATGAAAAAAAGTGTCCCAGGAGTCATTGAGACCCTGGCTCTGCGAAGTGAACAGCTTGCCATCGCTTGGAATAGGTGGACTTGAAGATTTGGAGGACCGGGAGGGGAGCGGCATTTGTTGAGCTTGGGATAGGAGCAGTTGATTTTTCTCCGTGTCGCATTTTACACAATGTTTTTTTTTTAAATACACACCCACACATGTATATATACAGAATGATACAAATCTATTATGGACACATTTTTAAGCGCACACACAAACACACACACACAAACACATGTGTATATATATATATACACGTATATCCCTAAGGTAATTGCTCAGGTAGTTCTAGAGGTGAATAAGAGGGGTGCCATACCTGGGCTGGGGTGGGGGGGGGTCAGGACGGCCCAATAAATCAGCTGGAACTTTGTGGATCAAAGAAGCAACCCATCAGATCTTCATTTTTCTATCATGGCTTTGGGACCACATTTCGTTTTAAAAAGGCGCCCAACTCAAGTCAAGTCGTCCAGAAATTACTGGCGCCAGTAAGGCTGGAACTGTGGTTTCCACTCCAGCCTTCAGCTCCAGCTCCAGATGGGTCAACAGAGTCAACCATGAACTCAGCTTGTGAAGATTTGTAAATCGGACACCAAACAAATGGGAACATCGGGCCCCCGTTGGATAGCGTTCAGTTGCCATATAAGTATATATATATGATTATATATATATATATATAATTATATATAAATATATATATATATATATAAGTTGCTGAATTCTATGGTTTATGGTAGATAGAACTATATAGTATTCATGGGGTTTATTAAAACCCCCGTTCTCAGGTGGACCGAGACATGCTCTCCAGCCTCTTTGCCATTGTCTTCGAGGCTAGGCAGTTGGCCGGCACTTGGGCTTAGGCGGCTCCAGTGTTGATGGGTTACCCGGCCTGGTAAACTTACAGAAAACCATGGAAAATCACCATTTTTCATGGGAAAACTCACTATAAATGGGGATTTTCCATAGTTATGTTAGTTTACCAGAGGGTATGATAGAAACATTCGAGTATATACCTGGTTTTTTATGGGGATTATGAACAATAATCCAACAAACTACAAGAACTATATAAGAACTATAATTACTACCGTGGATTGGGATTTTGAAGCCCATAATAGTACATAATAGTACATAATAGTACATAATAGTACATAATAGTACATAATAGTACATAATAGTACATAATAGTACATAATAGTACATAATAGTACATAATAGGACATAATGGGACATAATAGGACATAATAGGACATAATAGGACATAATAGTACATAATAATACATAATAGTACATAATAGTACATAATAGTACATAATAGTACATAATAGTACATAATAGTACATAATAGTACATAATAGTACATAATAGTACTCACCAAGCAGTATTTCAGGGTTATTTTCGACGGCTCACCTGATTTATTGAGTCTTGAGGACGAAATGAGATGATAAGCCATGATCAGCTACGAAATGATGATTGATTGGTTAATCCGAATTTACACTCACTGGTTTATTTGGACTTACCATAAAACATTAAAGTAATTAGGGATATCGGATACCTATTTATCAACCAGTCTTTTAAGGGTGAATGGTTATTTCTCATGGCTCAATGTTTGCATATTTTGCTGTTGTCTCTTCCACCCAGTTCGACGCCCCTTGTATCGCGTTAAGACTGACCTTGGAAGAGCATACCTTCCAGCAATCTTCACATCCAATACGAAAAAAGCTCACCTCGAGGATCAGTTTGCGGATCTCCAAATTGATCTACCAAAAATACATGATTACATTAATTACTGGTTGGTGGTTTGGAACATTTTTCATTTTTCCATTCAGTTGGGAATAATGATCCCAATTGACGAACTCATATTTTTCAGATGGGTAGGTATACCACCAACCAGATTACTAACTGCATAGATACCATGGTTGAACGCATGCCTTCGTTTCTCCAGTCGTCCCGACTTTCCTCCAGCGGAGGCGGCCCGGAAGCCGGAAGGACCCGGACGTGACGGACCCGGACGTGACTCCGGGCATTGCTTTGAGCCGCTGCCGCTGGAAACGGTGGAAAAGTCTGCATTGGTTTCATGATGTTTCTACAGGAAAAGAGATGAACAGAAATCTATTTATGGGGTAAAAAAACAAAATATGGTTTCCTACACATTGTCCTTTAAATCACTGAATTTTGACTCTGGAGTGTTCTACTGGGGGATCTTGAAACAACTCAGGTTTTCCATGGATCTTTCAAATAACAGCCCAACCACACTGTTTTCTTCTTAATTTAAGAATCAAAAACCAAACTTTTGAATTGTCATTGGGTTGCTTTGATTGAGAAAAATGCTGGCGTTTCCCATGGGTTTGCCACCAATTCACTGAGTGTTTTGGCGGGGAAGCCATCTGTCTTTGGATCCTTTTGTGCACGGCTCAGTCTCAAGCCGTTTGGATTTGGCGCTGCGTTCTGTCTCAAGCCCGGCTTTCCAGCCGCGGCTGGCGAATTCTCCGGCCATGGCGTCGTTGACGCTCCGTCCTGTCCAGCCGCAAGTCGCCCAGAGCTGGTCAGCGCCGCGCGTCGCCAGCGCACCGCGGGCAGCCAGTCCCGTGGATCGTACCTGGACGGAGAGCACGGCTTCGAGTTCTAGTTCAAGTTCACGGCATTTTGTGACCCTTGGCGAAGTCGATAGCAGTGTTCAATTGATGCTGATTATTAGGGATGCTATCCAAATCTATCGAATATGTTGGGGATGATCAGAATATCCATTAGGGGAAATCCTATTAACCAGCAAGTATTAAGGGACCACAAAGGGTTTTGAACACCGCTCATGTGTGACTCGATTGGGAGAGTGGTGGAACCTGATGGAATTTCTTGGATGAATTTGCGTAGGTTTGGGGGGCCATTTTCAGGCTAATATTGATCCGTAGTAAGATACATATATATATATATATACATATATATATATATATATGTATATATATATGTATATATATATGTATATATATATACATATGTATATATGACAATATATCGGTTCTCATCATAAACAATCGCATTTTCTGAGATTACAGTTGACTGTAGCCAGCAGCTGGATGATTTACATGGCTTCTTTGATACAAAAAGATTCGTCCTAAGATCAATCATTCGGTGTCAAACCCCCATGAGTTTGGAGTGAGCAACGGAAGCCAGTTGGGAGGGAGCTACGAATGGACTTTCCCAACCACATCCATAAAACATCCATAAGTCCCAGCTATGTTGCCGTGAACTACGGGGAAGTGCCTCATATTATCATTGTAACTTATAATCATAGTTGTAATTACAATATGATTGTCATGATAATCATGTGTGTAACATTGAAACCATTTGTGGTGAATCATTCAATAATGGTATGAATACAACATATCATGAAGCAATTGGGATTACCTTTTAATCAACAGTAATGTGGGTAAAGCAATAATAAACCATCCCCCAAATCACCATTTTTATAGGTGGTATGGTTACCATTGCCAAATGCGTGGTTTATGACATTGTTTGAATCAACATTAATCATCATTATTAAACATACATAACTATAGATTATGACTATTGACCATTATTAATTAACCATAGTAATATTAACCAATATAGCTATGGTTGACCATTATATTGATATATATATATATGGTTATTAATCTTAACTATGGTTATATTAATAACTATATATATATATATTAACCATATATATATACATAAATCATTATTAACCATCATTAACCATCATTAACCATCATTAACCATCATTAATCCATATGTTTACCATTGCCAAATGGGTGTTATGAACATCATCATTCTGCCGAGGCGCTGTTTGGCGCTGGTGTCACTTTCTTCACTGGCCGTGAGCAGACGGAGATCACTGAGATCAGCGGCTGGGTCGAATGATTTGGACAATTGTCGTGTCCAAAACAATAGTCACTTTCAAGGGAAATCAAGGGCAGAGAAATATGGTATTAATGGTATATAGGGAGTGTAATGTTTATGGTATATAATGTTTATAAAAGAATAATGTTTATTAATAACCAAGACTTAGTATTGTAAGATACCATATATCTGGGTAAATTATAACGAACTCACTGATCTCCCGAACCCTGGAATCATGGTTTATTCTAGGGAAATCATCCCCAAATGGCCGCAAGATTCAGGTTAGTGAATTATGATAATTTACCCAGATATATGTTGGGTGTAGCCGAACCTCTGTAACAGTCGGAAAATGGATTTCCGATGAAAACCTCTTCAAAAGGAGCACAAGGAAATTCACTCATTTTTGTAAAACATATATGTATATTAATGTATGTTTATATAAACAGCATATATACAGTATATGTATCAATGTATCATGTCTTTTGTATTTATACATATTATCATATATTATTTGTGTTGTACGCATATGTACACCTATTATATCACGATCCATATCAAACATATATATATATATACATACACATGTATATAGGGTGCAAACTGGAGTTTATCCGGGAGCAAGTTGTTGTTTCAACAATGGCTTTTGGCTCATTGATTTGGCTTATCAACATGTCGTTGATCGTTGCTTTTTTTTATTTCGCTGGGAGATGAGCAAGTCATCCTTAAGATGCTTTTTTGGGAAGCATTCTGAGGAAATCGCTGCAAGTGATTTCCCATTGGAATCGGAGTTTTGATCACGGCATTTCTTCAGAAGAATCTCTCTCTCTCTCTCTACTATTTATACCATTATATACTTATGTTTATGTAGCTATGTAATTATCTATCTACATTTCCACACATTATGTCACATTATTATAAAATATGGCAATGCGTTGCCATTAACTATAACGTTATCATATATATATATACACGCAATGCCCACCTTCGGCCCCACCCCAGCAACTTATTTTCATAAGGATCAACCCGCCACCTCGCCAGCGTCGTTGTGGGACAGGGGCAAAAGTATACGGCATTTGCCGTATATGATATACATGATATGTACAGATGAATTATATTATAGGTACATGTGTAGAAGAAATATACTATCTCTCTCTATCTGCATATATATGTATACACTTATATGTGATCAACACAGTCTCTATATGTAGTATATAACATATTTGTTATAGGCAAGGTGAGGTCCCCCAATTATAAGTTTGGTTAGAAACCCATCAACTATAGTTATACTATAGTTATATGCCCCGTCAAGCCTAGTTAATCAAGTTATAAGTCAACCATCATTCCAATGACGTCACAGTGGGGTCATTCTAACTTATCCAGATATATTTATATTGGTATGCATATGTGGGTAGAACTATAGCATAACTATAGGTAGAACTATAGTAAAACTATATAATTCATGGGTTTATACACCAACTATCACCAACTATAACCAACTTTAGCCACTCGAATTCATGGGTTTATAAAGTTTATGAACCAACTATCCCCAACTATAACCAACTATAACCAAACTATCACCAACTATCCCCAACTTATTGGGGGCAAATTCGTTGCTTCCAAGGTACGGAGCCCACGGAGCCCTGGACGCCGCGCCGAAGATGAGCGCAGGACGTCCGAGGGGTCGGCGGCGGTGACGCTGAAAGCGCAGGATGAGCGCAGCAGCGCGGCTGAAACATTGGTTAATATATATATATAAAGTTATATAGTTACTATATTAATATACATATATATATATATGGTTACTACATAGTTATTAATATAACCATACTTAATATTAATAACCATTATATATCAATATAATTGTCAACTATGAGTATAGTGGTTAATATTACTATGGTTAATAATAATGGTCAATAGTAATAATCTATAGTTATATATATATATATACGTATATGCTTAATAATGATGATTAATGTGGAGAAAACAATGTCATAAATCACCCATTTGGGAATGGTAACCATACCACCTATAAGAATGATTATTTGGTAAATTTGGGAAATGGATGGGAAATTCATGGGATATATTAATGGGACATGTATGATGATGAAAATATTAAATGGGATTTGAATGGGATCTTAATTTGTAGGATTGTTATAGATTCTAAATATGTCTAGGATGTCCATCTTGATTTACCCTCCAGTAAATTAACATAGACCCTGGTAGATAGGGGTTGGAAGATTAGTTTCCTCTAAAAATTGGTGATTTTCAGGGTCTATGTTAATTTACCAGAGGGTATATCTTAGAGTTATAGCCTTGTTGATTGGTGACTGGGGATTCGACTGCTTCAATGACGATTGCAACACCAATGGCCACCCCCCCGAGATGGGGGATAGTGTTTACCACCCATTTATGGTAATATTGGAGGATGGTTTTTGTTTAATAATGCACGTGCCCATGCAATGCACAAGGATTTCAATCCTTCTGCGTCTCCGGAGGATGGTTTATTGAACATAGGGATTCAAGTGGTTACAATAATGGGCTTCACATGGGCATATGATGGGACATAATGGGGACAAAGCTGGCGTTGGTCCATTAGTATCACAATGTTATGTTCATTTGTTACTGTAATGGTTAGATTCCCGTTTGTGGTGATCCCTTCCCCCGATTGTCAACAATACCACCTTGGAACACATGCTTTGGTCTTGGATTTGTGTGATCTATGGCCCGGTATTGTGAGGGTCTATAGTATCAGGGGGATAAGATTACCATCCACATTTTCAATGTAAGGTATATGGTCTTTTTCTGGGCAACCTCATGCTGGAAAATGAGGATTTATGATCAAGAATGAAGATCGCCATACAGTTTTTTTGTTTTTCCGTGTACATATGCGCATAAATATATAGTATATAGAAATAAATCCTACCAGATGTTGTTTAATCTGGTAAACCCATCAATACACCATACCTAGTTTTACTACTTGGGTGTATTTAAAACCGTTGTAGAGTGGAGGTTAGTTATCATAGGATACAGGCATAATCAAGGTATAACTCCCATCGTAAGCAACATAAGAACGCCTGCTTGTATACCCCCAAATATCACATGGTGGAATTGAGAAAATGAGTATAAACAAATATTTTAGGATATCTGTAGGGTTTTATACATATCTACACTCACTTGGCAACATCAGTGTTCAGTTCAGTGACTCGAGTGATGAATCAAAAATCACGATGAGATGTCATCAGATAAAAAAACTCATTTCAACCCGAAAAAACAACCTTGGGTAGAAGCACCAACGGCCTATAAAAAAGAGAAAAAGCCACAACGATCCGAAAATGAAGCAACGATGAATCCCATGCATCGGAGTTGCTGGGGGTTGCTGGGATGATCATAGTCATACTTAGCAGTTCCTTTGAAGTCCCATCCCTCTGAGAATATGTTTTATACCACCCATGAATATGGTATGTTTGGAGACTGTCGTACACCATTAACCATTTATATCCATGCATATCCATTTATCATGATCTTCATATTACTACATCCATTGACACATATTTGTATCATTATATATTCATATTACTAATCATGATATTCATATTACGATCATCATTTATAATCATTTATATATATTTATATCATACCAAATATCATACAAATATTATATTATATATATATATTATACCTGATTTATATATATTATATCATATATTTGGTGATTTAATCATCAGTTTTTTCACCAAAAAAAATATCTGAGGCCGTCCGCGACGTCGTCTGCTCCGTGTCGCTGTTGCCTCGGTCGCTGTGGCACTGGGCTTGGTGGCGCTGCTGTGTCCCGACAGAGAGAGGAACGGAACTGGGAAGATGCGGCGAGACAAGGGTGGAATTTTTCAATGATTTTCACATGAATTTAATGGATTTTAATGGATTTTAATGGATTTTAATGGATTTTAATGGATTTTAACGGATTTTAATGGATTTTTCAACTTTTAATGCAATTTTAATAGATGTTACATCGTTTTTTACAATCGAAAATGGATCCACCTGGTGATTTGAGCAACACAATGGGTGATTTTTTTCACAAAAAATGTGGATTTGAAGCAGCACAAAGACGATTTCACCAGCAAAAAGGGGTGGATTTAATAATCACGATACTGTGGTTAAAGCAATAATTAAAACCATCCCCCAGTCATCACCATTGTTATAGATGGTATATATAAACCATTCCCAGTCATTGGTGGTTTATGGACATGGTTTTAACCACATGAATCATCATTATTAACCATATATATAACTATAGATTGTGACAATTGACCATTATTAATTAACCATAGTAATATTAACCAATATAGCTATGGTTGACCATTATATTGATATATATGGTTTTTAATATTAACTATGGTTATATTGATAATTATATATCAACAATATATATATATATATGTATATTAATCATCATTAACCATCATTAACCATCATTAATCCATATGTTTACCATTACCAAATGGGTGTTATAGTTATTATGATTATTACTTGACCATTATTAACCATAATTACTATTGACCATTACTATAGATTATTACTATTAACCCATATTAACATAGTTGACCATTACTGGATTTTTACCATCCCGGGGACAAAAAACCCTGGGAATCTGGGTATGGCACCAGGATGTCACGATTGGAGGGTGGCGTTTACGCCCTCCCTGGGGATTGGATTTGAATGGTTATAATAGGGTTATAATGGTTATGGTTGGATTACATGGTTATTTTTAATGGTTATAATGGGTTCATGGTGGATTAAATTGATTAAATGGTGGATTTTCATGATGGATTGGATTTGAACATGGTTATTTTTCATGGGATTTGATGCAATGTGGGACTCCCAGGTGATGTGAATGATGTTTTTTTGAAGCCCATGAACACTAGTTCGTTCTTTGCGTATCATAAACCATAGTTATTGGAGTTATTTGCATCAACTTAGCTGTTGCCCACCGCAAAAAAAAACATATAAATCATCCACCAAGAGTATCTGTTGAGCAAAACTGCTGGATGAACACCACTTTTCTTCATGAGGATTTCACGAACCTGAAGGTGACACCCCCAGTGATAGATGGTGAAAGCGCTTCAAAAAATGTTGGTTAAGAAGCCACCAATAAACCCCAAAATTGTTGGGGGGAACATTTGGGCAGGTTGGCTGAGACCCCGTGAGTTGTAGATGACTTATCCGTTCAAATCTCGGATATTGGTCTCCCTACCTCTGGTGCCACCGGAATTCCGTGAAGATCAACGGGCGAAGAGTATCAAATATACACTAGAAACCATCTTGTTGGCGAGAAGATGTTCATGTCCCCCTTCTTCAAATCAATATACCATGTCAAGTTGATATCAATATGTAAACATCCCAAACCATGACCTGAGCTTTTCAACTCCCCATGCTTTCGTTGATCCCACCCACAGGTATTGCACCAGTTTTGTTGAGGGGGCCATGCACAAGCTCTTTGCGCCGCCTATGAAGGTCCGGGATCAGGGATGGAGCAATTCATGGACCGCGACCCATGGCTTTTCTTGCGAATTCTCTTGGAAAACTAATCCATTGCTGGTGATTTCACAGTTTGACTCGCACTACTGAAATTCACCGATATCTGAGATCTTTCATCTTTTCCGAATGGTTTCAAGGATCCTGGCCGTGTTTTTTTATTGGATTCCCATCCTTTTTTTTTGGAGCTTCCGGCAACGGCCAAAGACCAAACCCAAACACCGAGGCCAAATCACCGAGCTTCGCACTCCTGATCGGCCTGGCCGTGGGCGGTCTTCACACGGTGGCAGGCGCCGTCCCACAGAGTCGACGTCCAGAAGGGTCGGTTTGGATCCAGGGACGATGGGGATGGGGATGGAAAAAGCATGAAACAACTAGGATTGAAACGGGTTTGTCTGAAAATACCTCAAAATCCAATGGTTTATGAATGATTATGATCATTTTCCTACTTAAAAGCATTATTTTGGAGTATACCCCATTTTCAGAGACACCCAAATGATTGAAATGTACGAGCAAATCCAACTTAAGCAAGAAATATATTAGGACTTAGCCAACAAAAAATGGAGACATAACTAACTAAGAAAAGAAAATGGTAGGTTGTTGGAGGAGCCATGATAAACCATGATAAACTATGATAACCCATAATATAAACTATAAACCATGATAAACCATTATAATAGAATACCAATAACTATGAATATTGGTAGGTTTATTTCCTACTTTTATTGAGAGGAACCATGATAAACCCTTATAAACGAGGCAGTAGAATGGGATTACACCCATAAAAAGTGGGGATTGCTCAAGGCAATTCACCCCGCAGCATGATCTACTTAGAATCTACGTTGATCCGTCAACGTGTCATAACATTTCTTGCCAAGTTGAGAATTTCAAAGTCTCCAAGCCTCCCCAGTTGTGTTACCATCTGGTTATGGAAAATGGCCCATAGAAATAGATGGTTCACCTATTAAAAATGGTGATTTTCCATGGCTATGTTAAACAACCAGATGGTATACCATCATATATCCTAATAAATTCCATTAAATCCCATTAAATCACCATTCAATCATCATTGAATCACCATAGTTCATCTCAATATTCATCCCACCATCAGTTTCTCACTTGGTTTAAATATGGAAACTCTCCAGGAAGTCACTTGGATTTTCAGCCATGGACGTCCACAGCATTTCTCTCTATGAAACAGGATCAACATCAAGAAAAAACATGGCAAAGGTACCCAAAACATGGTCCCCCGATTGAATCCCCTGGTTTTTCTCATCATGTTCACCTTAGGTTTTCTGTTGTTCTTTTCTCTTGGTTTTCTATGGATTTTTCTATAGGAAAACCGTGTGGTTTTCCTAGGTTTTTTTATGAGTCTTCTATGGGTTTTCTGTGGTTTTCTGTGGGTTTTCTGTCGTTTTCTGTGGTTTTCTGTGGATTTTCCGTGGGTTTCCCCCCATTTTTCACCCCTTTTCTCCACGTTTTTGGCCCGCTGGGACCGCAGAGCAGGCCCTGACCACCTGGCCGCCCTGGCGCCGCTGGTCATCGGCAAGCGCCGCAGCATCTTCGCCGCCTTCGGCCTGGGGGCGCTCTGGGGCTCCGGACACGCCACCGGACAGCTGGTGCCCTGGGATTTTAATGGGGATGGGGATGGGGATGGGTGAGTTTTCCCATTAAAAATGGTGATTTTCCATAGTTTTTTGTAAGTTTACCAGAGGGTAATGGTGATTTAATGGGATGTTAATGGGACTTAATGGGATTTAATGGGATTTAATGGGATATTAATGGGATTTTAATGGGATTTAATGGGATTTATTAGGATATATGATGGATATACCCTCTGGTAAACATACAAAAAGCTATAGAACATGGCACATTTTTTTCGTTGATTTACCTATTAAAAAAATGCATGGTGATGTTCCATAGTTATGTAAACGTTTAGTAGTTGGAGATGGGGGATGGGGGGGAAATCATCCTGGGATGGGAATGATGCGGGTTTCGCTGGTCGAAACCAACTCCATGCAGACCTCTCTCCGGATCACGTCTCGAGTTCCGATCCGGAGAGCCACCCAAAAGTCGGATTCGAGTCGGCTTCGGGTTTCGGGTTTCGGGTTTCGTCGATTGAAACCAACTTTCGCTGTCGGTTTCGGGTTTCGGGTTTCGTCGCTTGAAACCAACTTTCACTGTCGGTTTCGGGTTTTGGGTTTCGTCGATTGAAACCCACCTTCGCTGTCGGTTTCGGGTTTCGGGTTTCGGGTTTCGCAGTTCGAAACCAACCTCGACCCTCCACTGCCGAGGAAAAAATGGTCGTTCCAAGAAGATAGGTCAAACAAACCAAGAAATGATTCACTTTGTTCCAAACATGTATGTTTCTGGGAAAATCTCAGCACTACGGCCGGGCACACAAACCTTGATGATTTTTGGAACAACCAAAAAAATCCGAAAACTACCTAAAACAACGAGATTTCAGGATTTGCGGGTTTTTGCGTGTTTTTGCGGGTTTTTGCGGGCTTTTTGCGTTTTTTTTTTTGCGGGGTTTTGCGGGTTTTATCCCCAGTCGTTTGATGCGCTGCAAACATTTTTTGGCCTTTGTCTCACCAAACCCAAAAACATGCAATCAAAGTCCTAAAATCCAAGATCTAGGTGTTTTGGGTAAAATCAGTCGATATAGGTGAAATTCCGAAAACACATATTTTTCTAGGATTTGGAGGGTCGAGGAACTTTGACAGTCGGTTTCGGGTTTCGGGTTTCGGGTTTCGGGTTTCGATCGGCCCTGGGGAAGTTAAGTCTTCAGAGTCGGTTTCGGGTTTCGGGTTTCGGGTTTCGATCGGTCCTGCAAGTTAAGTCTTCAGAGTCGGTTTCGGGTTTCGGGTTTCGGGTTTCGCAGTTCGAAACCAACTTTAACAGTCGGTTTCGGGTTTCGGGTTTCGGGTTTCGCTGGTCGAAACCAACTCCATGCAGACCTCTCTCCGGATCACGTCTCGAATGATGATATGCAATGAGAGTAGTTGGTTAGTTCATCCCCATCAGAGAAGCACAGCTGATGGGTTGGTTCTTCAAAACCCCTTTTGCAGGCTCGATGATTAGTTCGGGGATTAGACTACCCTTCATATGTTGGGGATTATAGTAATCCATGCACGGGGAATATCTATAAACCAACCAGTATAATGGAATGATGATAGAGGGATTTTGAACACTGCTCAAATATGCTCAAATGGGATATCACCTTTTTAAGGTCTAAGGGACATGTATTGGACTTATCTTGGGGATGGGAATGATGATGATGAAAAATGGTGGTGGAAACGGGAAGATTTAATGTTTTTTTTTTTTGATTTAATGGACTGTTAGGACTGTTTGGAATACTTGAGGGTGCGGGCCCCACTTGGTAAATGAGTGAAAAAAAAACCAGTGACATGTGGAATATCTTTGAATATCCACCATTTTAGATGGGATTGTATGGCTTATATATGGATTGTAAACCACTTACTAAGTGGGATGCACATCCAAGTATGGTATGGGAATATATAACCAACTTAACTAACTATAGCTGGTTGGATATGGTTGGATAATGATGATCTAACCACCAGCAACTACAACGTAATCCACTGGGGATGTTCTGGTGATTTAATAGGATTTAATTAGGAATATAACCAACGGTAATGGAATCTAAAGGGAATAATTATTTATGTTTTTTCAACGATAGTTGGGATGATTGGTTGAGATGACTAAAAACAATGATTGCTTGGGGAAGATGTTGAACATGTAGCAAATACCAATAAACTCATGGTGATTTCTCATGGGATTTCTCATAGGATTTGAAACAACACATGGAATTCCATGGTGATTTTCTGCTGATTTCTAATGGTTTTAAATTGGGTTTTCATGATGATCGATAGGGGTTTCATCCCCATCAATCATCATTTAGTTGTCCTCCAGCATTGGCTTGGTTTCATGATCACCATTATCATCATCACCACACTGATACCCTCTGGTAAACTTACAAAAAACTATGGAAAATCACCTTTTTTAATGGGAAAACTCACTATAAATGGCCATTTTCAATAGCTATGTTAAAGTACCAGAGGGTAAATCATAGAATTTCTTCTGTCTGAATTCTCATTGCCTACGAACGGGGGGGGGGCACATCTGACTTAGTAACGTATGGTAACAACCGACTTTATATATGGAATCCCCAGTTCTTTATATGATTAGTGGGATGCATCACTCAGGCAATCATCATTTTACCCATACAAAATTGTCAATTGCAGATTCACACATAGTTTATTCATCATTTTCAGCTCATCATGTAACTTCCCAGTTTCATATCCAATATCCGATGATATTCCTCTATTATATTGTCTTCTTATGAAATTTAATCACCATTAAAACGCATTAAAACATGTTTTATGGTGTATGAATGTGAACTTCCCCCTATATCCAGATTTAATTCCACGTTTTTGTTGGTTAAATCATACTGAATGCGTAATTCAATCATAATTTATTGTGTGTAAATCCAATTAAATCCAATTATATATATGCCCATTAAATCTCAATTTTACATTTGCATGACATACCAACTGAACCCATTTTCTTATTTGTAATCACCCTGAAGTAGACGACCAAACTTCCAATACTCCCATTTCTCAGGGAGTTTTTGTTTGACCAAAATTGCTGTCACTGAAGGATGACCAGGATGACAATTTTCAGTCGTTTTCAAATGCATGTTTTTATTTTACACTTCCATATTCTATCCATATTCTATCCATCATCATTTCATACAGATCACCCATATATATATATTATATCCATATAGATTATCAAATTCAAATATACCTGGATGGTGGTTTTAAACGTTTTTTATTTTCCATAATATATGGTCATATTTTTCAAGATGGTTATTGCACCACCAACCAGATATAATCCTTTTATTAATATCTAATAATCACTATGATCATTATTAATTAATCATTAGCCCACCATTCATCTCCATATAGATTATAAAAATCAAATATACATAGTCTATCCATTCCATCATCACATTCTGTGAGGTCATCGGTCTGGGATGTCTGGCAGTTCACTTGGGTTTGCTCCAGATGCACGTGGCGACTGCCCTACAGCAGATGAGTGCCCTGGCACAGTCGGGGACTGACTAACAGCGGTGAAAAAGGTGGCGAAAACCTGGGCAAAAAATGGTGATTTTATGACATTCAATGGGATTTACCCTCTGGTAAACTAACATAACTATGGAAAATCACCATTTTCAATGGGTAAATCCACTATAAATGGACCGTTTTCAATAGCTATGTTTGACATAACCAGAGGGTAAGCCACTTTTTGGATGATTCATACCAGCAAGCATGGCGATTTACTGGCAAGAAAAATGGGAGTTAACCATAAAACTATGGGATAAAGATGGATCAAATTATGGGATGATTGGATACTGGAATAGCTACCACGGGTTTTCACCTTTTCCGATAAGTTGACAGAGTTTATGAGAGAATATAGCTCTAGTTTTCATGAATGGACTTATAAATCAACATATGACTGGGAGGCCTCACCTTGTGGCTTTGATTTACTGTGGTAAACCCAATAAGTAAAAGCCATCCAACAATATCAACCATTTGGGGGTCATACAACGTCATCCTAAATAAGGGGTATACCCAACAATAAATCATTATAATATATTGTAATAAATCCATGTTGGGATTGTTCATTATTGGCTTTACCACATGAATGATGATGTACTGTGATGCTGATACCTAGGGGGATGGAGGGTTGGTGTTAAAGAAGGGTTTTCATGGGTGTTTAAGGAGTGTCACATGTTTTTTGACCGTTTTTTTTTTCAATTGGGATGTTCGAACAAACAAGCATGTACCCTCTGGTAATTTAACATAGCTATGGAAAATGACCATAGAAATAGTGGATTTTCCCATTAATCATATTTAATCATGGTGATTTTCCATAGCTATGTTAAATGACCAGAGGGTAACACACCCAATAATAAGTGGTCAATAAACCGTGGTTGAATCACCATGAATCGACCACGTTTTTTTTTTTTTTAACGGGGCTGATATTAGCACTGAAGAAACATGGTGAGACGGCGGTCTTCAGGGGTGGGTTTACTTCAAGAACTCGCCGTGAAGATTTTTTCGCAGTGTTCAAAAGCCGGATGTTTGATGATTATGCGATCCTTTCTATTCAAAATTACCCTCTGGTAATTTAACGTAGCTATTGAAAATGGCCATTAATAGTGGATTTTCCCATTAAAAATTATGATTTCCCATAGCTATGTTAGTTTACCAGAGGGTATCTGGAATCCCGTTCTTAACCAACCGGGAGCTTGATGGAATGACGGTCTTGGACACTGCTCAGTGATCCCCAACAAGAGTTGGAGAATGTTGGAGAGTTCCATTCAGGGGAGTTACATCCCATATGTTTCATAGTAGAAATATGTTTAAATCGACATTTAAAGATTACTTTCCGATTTTTGGGGGTTTCTTAAAGTGTTCTTAAAATGCTGAATCCCCAAGTCACAATGGTTGTTTCAAAATTAAGTCGTGGTCTAATCACTTGGATGATTTGGGGGTTTATAACCTGGTCATAAACCACATGAAACCACTATCGAAGAACTTAAATCAACATTTTTTTAGATGATGATGTTAGGCCTATATTTTCCCGTATTTCCACATCTTAAACACGCAGTTATTTAACGTTTTTTTTTTGTTCGAGACGAGAGCCACTGCAGGCGGCATCTTGGTGGGTCTCTCGCTCATCGCCATTGGCCTTCTGGGATTCAAGGTGGGATCCCGTGGGAAGGCGGAGATGCCTGGGATTTCACCATGGTTTTTAGATGTTTTTAAAAGATTAAAACCATTAAACAAAAAGTGAAATCCCAGGTCTGATTGTAAATGTTTATTTTTATTTTTATTTTTTTTATTTTTAATGTTTTTTTTTTTCTCCATGGTTTATTAATGTCTACCACATTTGATGTTTTTTTATATTGTCATTCTCGATGAAGATGCTGGAATGATTCGGAATGATTGAATGAAGCATCCAAAGAATGCTGATTTTAAACATGAAGAATGGTGATGTATGGATCAATTAACTATGGTGAACACATATGGAGATGGGTCAAAACCCTGGTACCTAGTGAACCCCAAAATAGCTGGGATTTATGGATGTTCATCCCACTAAAAATGTATCTACAGGTATTGACCCATACCCATATGGATTTTTTTACATCGATGTGCTCGGTGCTGTTTTGGTGCATCATCACTGAGGATTTCACTTCATGTTGACATTCGATTGACAGAGGGTAGAAGATCTCACTTGTAACATGATAAACGAACATTTGCTCTATATGGATATATGGGATATTTATAAACTGAGAAACTAAAAAAACTGATAGTTATCATAAACTGAACTGGGATATGAATGATATGAACATGAGTTTGCAAGATACTACGTTACACAAATATCGTCAAACATTGCCAGAGGGTCGGTAATTCTCCAGGTCTGTCACAATTCAGTCATGGTTCCATCCCTGAAAGCATGCTGAGTTTCTGGGGGATGTTTTCACTGATGGGATTGCCAAATAGTGCCAAGTTTCCATGGAAGTTTCCAACTTTTTGGGATAGTTTCATATATCATGATGACTGGTTGGTGGTGACTGGAACCATGGAATTTTGAATGACTTTCCATTCAGTTGGGAATTTCATCATCCCAACTGACTATTTTTCAGAGGGGTAGTATACCACCAACCAGTATATCATCATAGATGTATGCCACGCTTTTCTGGCAAAATTGGGGATGGTATGAAAATCACAAAACGGTCCACCGTTACCTGACTTGACATTGACCCAAGGTCAACCCTTTAAGGTGGGCCATAGACGGGAAACCCCTATGTTTAAAGAGTAAGACCCTACAATTTTATGCAAAATGTCTCTTGAACTCTAATCCATTGAATCATCATTTTCCATATTTATTTCCTATAATATATATATATATATAGATACGTGTGTATATATATATATATATAATCATTTTTTGATGTTTAAATCCCATTTATCACTATTTTTGCTTATTTTGAGTAACTTTAGCATAGACCATCCAAGTCTTTACGGGAAGGACTTGCCTCTCATACCATTTGGCACCGGAGAACTATCACTAGGTAACCATGGATAGAAATACTACAACTGGTTGGTGGTTTGGAACATTTTTATTTTTCCATATATTGGGAATAATAATCCCAAGTGACTTTCATATTTTTCAGAGGGGTTGAGACCACCAACCAGACAAAGTCTAGAGATCTTGTTGATGTACACATTTCGATTGGTCAAATAAAATTCATTGGGGACTTCGGTAACCATGAGCCAGGAGGAAGTGGGATCAACGGAGTTGCTGAAGGTGATCTCTTGTTTCCCCAAAATCCCTGGGTAAATCCCTGGAATTGAAGTCACTTACTGGTAATTTCAATCAATTTATTTCTTGAGTTTCAATCAACTTGATGCACTATGTGGAAGCATGTCTTGGAGCCCAAGCAAAATCCAAGTCTTGGGAACCCTTCTGTTGCCGAGGAAGCAAAAGACTATGACCCCACTGAGGAAGAAGAAACCTCCACAGGCGCGGCTCAAAGGTTCAGAGGCAGCAAAGGTCGACGGTCGGACTTTCGACCTCGGGCAGGTTGTACTTGGGGTTGCGGTTGGGATTGGGGCTATTTGACTATTTGGGATTGGGAATGACCATGGCGAGTTCACCTCCATGTGTTGGGATAAAACCTTGCAACAATTGTTACTGTATATATATATATATATAGAATGGGCTAGCGCCCAGGTGCCGCCGACCCCCCTCTATTTGGGGGGGACTGTGGGGAGAGAGAGAGAGAGAGAGAGAGAGAGAGGAGAGGGAGAGATGGATGGATGGATGGATGGATGGATGGGGATGGATGGATGGATGGATGGACGGATGGACGGATAGATGGATGGATGGATGGATGGATAGATAGATAGACAGACAGACAGACAGACAGACAGGTAGACATGTGAATAGATGATAGATTGATGGATAGATAGAGGGATAGAGAGAGAGAGAGAGAGATAGATTGATAGATAGGTAGATAGACAGTTTGATAAACAGGTGGATAGATATTGTTGGACGGATGTATAGAGAGAGAGAGAGAGAGGGAGAGAGAGAGAAAGAGAGAGAGAGAGATAGATGACAGATAGGTAGATAGACAGTTGGATAAACAGATGGATAGATCGATTGTTGGATAGATAGATAGTGGCATAGGAAGAAAGACAGATGGATTTATATATACTTTGAGTGTCAAGGACCCTCCGTTCTTAGGACTGTCATTGTAACCTCATGTTTTTAGTCCTTTTGTGAGTTTGTGGGGTAACGTAATGAAAAAAAGGGTTTTGCACTTAGGCGGTACATAATCATACATTTTGGAGCGTTTGGAGAGTTTTGGAGGGTTTGCGGGCTGGCAAACGGCAGCGTTGAAAGCGCATAGAAAGCCATTGCTGTGGCCTGGCCCTGGGGTGCCTGTTGGGGAAGTGGCCTTGGCCCTGGCCCTGGGGTGCCTGTTGGGGAAGTTGCCTTGGCCCTGGGGTGCCTGTTGGGGAAGGTGTTTGGAATTTTGTTTTGGAAAGTTTGGAGCCTTTGCGGGCTAGCAAACGGCAGCTTTGAAATTCATAAAAAGTGGTGGCCCTGGGGGTTTGGAATTTTGGAAGGGTTTGGAGCCTTTGCGGGCTGGCAAACGGCAGCTTTGAAAGCCTATAGAAAGTCATTGCTGTTGCCCTGGCCCTGGGGTGCCTGTTGGGGAAGTGGCCTTGGCCCTGGCCCTGGGCCCTGGCCCTGGGGTGCCTGTTGGGGAAGTTGCCTTGGCCCTAGGGTGCATGTTGGGGAAGGTGTTTGGAATTTTGGAAGTTTGGATCCTTTGCAGCTTTGAAAGCGTCAAGAAAGTCATTGCTGTGGATCTGGGGTGCCTGCTGGGGACGGTGTTTGGAGGGTTTGGCGGGTTTTGGAGGGTTTGGAGCGTTTGGAGCGTTTGGAGAGTTTTGGAGGGTTTGCGGGCTGGCAAACGGCAGCTTTGAAAGCCCATAGAAAGCCATTGCTGTGGCCTGGCCCTGGGGTGCCTGTTGGGGAAGTGGCCTTGGCCCTGGCCCTGGGGTGCCTGTTGGGGAAGTGGCCTTGCCCTGTTTTAAGGAAGGTGTTTGGAATTTTGAGGGGTTGCAGCCTTTGCGGGCTGGCAAACGGCAGCTTTGAAAGTCTCAAGAAAGTCATTGCTGTGGATCTGAGGTGCCTGCTGGGGACGGTGTTTGGAGGGTTTGGCGGGTTTTGGAGGGTTTGGAGCGTTTGGAGGGTTTGGAGAGTTTTGGAGGGTTTGCGGGCTGGCAAACGGCAGCTTTGAAAGCCCATAGAAAGCCATTGCTGTGGCCTGGCCCTGGGGTGCCTGTTGGGGAAGTGGCCTTGGCCCTGGCCCTGGGGTGCCTGTTGGGGAAGTGGCCTTGGCCCTGGGGTGCCTGTTGGGGAAGGTGTTTGGAATTTTGTTTTGGAAAGTTTGGAGCCTTTGCGGGCTAGCAAACGGCAGCTTTGAAATTCATAAAAAGTCTCATTGCTGTGGCCCTGGCCCTGGGGGTTTGGAATTTTGGAAGGGTTTGGAGCCTTTGCGGGCTGGCAAACGGCAGCTTTGAAAGCCCATAGAAAGTCATTGCTGTGGCCCTGGCCCTGGGGTGCCTGTTGGGGAAGTGGCCTTGGCCCTGGCCCTGGGCCCTGGCCCTGGGGTGCCTGTTGGGGAAGTTGCCTTGGCCCTAGGGTGCATGTTGGGGAAGGTGTTTGGAATTTTGGAAGTTTGGATCCTTTGCAGCTTTGAAAGCGTCAAGAAAGTCATTGCTGTGGATCTGGGGTGCCTGCTGGGGACGGTGTTTGGAGGGTTTGGCGGGTTTTGGAGGGTTTGGAGCGTTTGGAGCGTTTGGAGAGTGGCAAACGGCAGCTTTGAAAGCCCATAGAAAGCCATTGCTGTGGCCTGGCCCTGGGGTGCCTGTTGGGGAAGTGGCCTTGGCCCTGGCCCTGGGGTGCCTGTTGGGGAAGTGGCCTTGCCCTGTTAAGGAAGGTGTTTGGAATTTTGGGGGGGTTGCAGCCTTTGCGGGCTGGCAAACGGCAGCTTTGAAAGCCTCAAGAAAGTCATTGCTGTGGATCTGAGGTGCCTGCTGGGGACGGTGTTTGGAGGGTTTGGCGGGTTTTGGAGGGTTTGGAGCGTTTGGAGCGTTTGGAGAGTTTTGGAGGGTTTGCGGGCTGGCAAACGGCAGCTTTGAAAGCCCATAGAAAGCCATTGCTGTGGCCTGGCCCTGGGGTGCCTGTTGGGGAAGTGGCCTTGGCCCTGGCCCTGGGGTGCCTGTTGGGGAAGTGGCCTTGGCCCTGGGGTGCCTGTTGGGGAAGGTGTTTGGAATTTTGTTTTGGAAAGTTTGGAGCCTTTGCGGGCTAGCAAACGGCAGCTTTGAAATTCATAAAAAGTCTCATTGCTGTGGCCCTGGCCCTGGGCGTTTGGAATTTTGGAAGGGTTTGGAGCCTTTGCGGGCTGGCAAACGGCAGCTTTGAAAGCCCATAGAAAGTCATTGTTGTGGCCCTGGTCCTGGGGTGCCTGTTGGGGAAGTTGCCTTGGCCCTAGGGTGCATGTTGGGGAAGGTGTTTGGAATTTTGGAAGTTTCGATCCTTTGCGGCTGTGAAAGCGTCAAGAAAGTCATTGCTGTGGATCTGGGGTGCCTGCTGGGGACGGTGTTTGGAGGGTTTGGCGGGTTTTGGAGGGTTGGGAGCGTTTGGAGAGTTTTGGAGGGTTTTGGAGGGTTTGCGGGCTGGCAAACGGCAGCTTTGAAAGCCCATAGAAAGCCATTGCTGTGGCCTGGCCCTGGGGTGCCTGTTGGGGAAGTGGCCTTGGCCCTGGCCCTGGGGTGCCTGTTGGGGAAGTGGCCTTGCCCTGTTAAGGAAGGTGTTTGGATTTTGGGGGGGTTGCAGCCTTTGCGGGCTGGCAAACGGCAGCTTTGAAAGCATCAAGAAAGTCATTGCTGTGGATCTGAGGTGCCTGCTGGGGACGGTGTTTGGAGGGTTTGGCGGGTTTAGGAGGGTTTGGAGCGTTTGGAGGGTTTGGAGGGTTTGGAGAGTTTTGGAGAGTTTTGGAGGGTTTGCGGGCTGGCAAACGGCAGCTTTGAAAGCCTAAGAACGCCATTGCTGTGGCCTGGCCCTGGGGTGCCTGTTGGGGAAGTTGCCTTGGCCCTAGGGTGCATGTTGGGGAAGGTGTTTGGAATTTTGGAAGTTTGGATCCTTTGCAGGCTGGCAAACGGCAGCTTTGAGGCCTATAGAAAGTCATTGCTGTGGATCTGAGGTGCCTGCTGGTTGGACGGAAAGTTTGGAGCCTTTGCGGGCGGGAGCTTTGAAAGCCCATAAAAAGTCTCATTGCTGTGGCCCTGGCCCTGGGGGTTTGGAATTTTGGAGGGGATTGGAGCCTTTGCGGGCTGGCAAACGGCAGCTTTGAAAGCCCATAGAAAGTCATTGCTGTGGCCCTGGCCCTGGGGTGCCTGTTGGGGAAGCTGTTTAAGGGTAAAGGTTTGGAGGGTTTGGAAGAGGACAAGGTCCAACCTGCGGTGGTCTGGGGACGGTGTTTGGAGGGTTTGGCGGGTTTTGGAGGGTTTGGAGCGTTTGGAGAGTTTTGGAGGGTTTGCGGGCTGGCAAACGGCAGCTTTGAAAGCCCATAGAAAGTCATTGCTGTGGCCCTGGCCCTGGGGTGCCTGTTGGGGAAGTGGCCTTGGCCCTGGCCCTGGGCCCTGGCCCTGGGGTGCCTGTTGGGGAAGTTGCCTTGGCCCTAGGGTGCATGTTGGGGAAGGTGTTTGGAATTTTGGAAGTTTGGATCCTTTGCAGGCTGGCAAACTGCAGCTTTGAGGCCCATAGAAAGTCATTGCTGTGGCCCTGGCCCCCTGTTAAGGAAGGTGTTTGGAATTTTAGAGGGGTTGCAGCCTTTGCGGGCTGGCAAACGGCAGCTTTGAAAGCATCAAGAAAGTCATTGCTGTGGATCTGAGGTGCCTGCTGGGGACGGTGTTTGGAGGGTTTGGCGGGTTTTGGAGGGTTTGGAGCGTTTGGAGGGTTTGGAGAGTTTTGGAGGGTTTGCGGGCTGGCAAACGGCAGCTTTGAAAGCCTAAGAAAGCCATTGCTGTGGCCTGGCCCTGGGGTGCCTGTTGGGGAAGTGGCCTTGGCCCTGGCCCTGGGGTGCCTGTTGGGGAAGTGGCCTTGGCCCTGGCCGTGGGGTGCCTGTTGGGGAAGTGGCCTTGGCCCTGGGGTGCCTGTTGGGGAAGGTGTTTGGAATTTTGTTTTGGAAAGTTTGGAGCCTTTGCGGGCTAGCAAACGGCAGCTTTGAAATTCATAAAAAGTCTCATTGCTGTGGCCCTGGCCCTGGGGGTTTGGAATTTTGGAGGCGTTTGGAGCCTTTGCGGGCTGGCAAACGGCAGCTTTGAAAGCTCATAGAAAGTCATTGCTGTGGCCCTGGCCCTGGGGTGCCTGTTGGGGAAGCTGTTTAAGGGTAAAGGTTTGGAGGGTTTGGAAGAGGACAAGGTCCACACCTGCGGTGGTCCCAG